ATGATGGGTTCATGGCGACGGCTAGCGTGGAAACTGCGAATGTAGGAAAAAATTTTCATCATAAGAGAGCCAGAAGGCTCTGTTGGTCGATTTGAGGATTGAGACAGGACAGGGAAAAAAGTGTAAGACTTACCAAAAGTTAGTGAGTCGCGAAACGGTGCGCTGTAAATGACCAAAAGCAATATTATTATCGCATATTTAGAAGCTCAATCAACTGCAGGAGTCTACATTTAACTCCAGTGCCAATTGGGCAGGCAATGCTGCTGTGCGAAGTCGAATTGGTGTCGTTTGTGGAAGAGCAGAAAGAAGAAATTTTGCGGCGGCGGAAGGCTTTTTATAGTCGGCCTGTGTGCTGCCCGGGAAACCCACCGACCCATACGAAGCTTCTAGAGCGAAGAGCAGAAAGAAAATCTTCAGAACAAGCGACGCAAAATCGAAGGTTCGATCGGGCTGACAGAATTTCCATTACTCATGATAATTATCTTCAGTTAAGCAATATCGAACAATGCCATGCCTTTGAGGGCCACGTAAATAGATGATTCCAAGGTTATGCGCTTTGTATGGAATTGAACAAGAGCAGATGAGAAGCGAATGAGTATGAAATCATCGTCAGGTGCATGTCTTCCCCCAATAATATCCATATGCAAACAATGTCAGATGGCTCCTCTATATACAAGTCATGACCGCATACCGGCGAATCCCCCGTTGGTGCTGCATTGGCAGCAGCATGCGCTATTTAAAGCTCTTCGGCTTTTGTCTCGAATTCCAATTCAACGTTTTGGAGATACACTGCACCCAGTCCTCGCCACGCCGGTTGTGGGGTAGCACGTTTGCAAACGGATACCGCGATGCGGATACAGTCACATAATCGCCCGGCAGCAATTCGACTCTACCATGGCTGTCAGCGAATCTCAATGTAGCTTCGATGTCGCAGAACCCACCTCTCTCGACCATCAAAGCTTGCCCATGAGCTTGTTCGGGCATCATAAGGCACTCCCATACGTAGAACAATGGTGTCTGGCAATATAATCGGTCGGAAAGACAGGGTGTGGGCGCAGATGGCGGTAACGAGAATGACAGGGTTCTCTGGATGACACAGTGAACCTCCCGCGGCCAGATTGTACGCCGTCGAGCCGGTAGGCGTCGCTATACAGATGCCGTCCGCTAGCAACGTTGTGAAGTGCTCATTGTCACCGAACAATTCAATTTGAGACATCGCTGATAGGGTCAGTCAGGGATCCATTTCCATGCAAGGCGAGTGCATTCACGGGGGGCCTTACTAGGGTTCGGTCCTCTGTCAAGCACGACATCATTGAGGATCTGGAAAACCTTGTCCGGTCTATGGGTCAATGTTCCTTCCATTTCCTCTCCTATCAGTTCTTCGACGAGATCCCGCTTCGTTATGTTTGTTGCGTCGTTCTCCGGCCGACGATTGCTCCTCATGATCGTGCACTCGAACCTTAGTCTGAGGCTTACCACGACACCGTCCTTAAACGCCGTCTCTAGTGTGCTCTGATATTGGTTGAAATCGAATCTGGTCAGGAATCCCAGAGAACCCAGAGAAAACGAGAGAACGGGTGGTACGACGTGCTGGAAAAGCCAGCTCGTGTAGAGAACCGTTCCGTCCCCTCCTAGTGTAACAACAAAGTCAAATAAATGTGCTTCCTCGGATGCCATATCTGAATCCCAATACTTGAGCCGGTCTTCCGCTGTAGGTTCTTCTTGAAGGAGTTGAATGGCTCCAAAGTCAGGGTGCGTTTCCAGCCGCTTCTCCACATAGACGACATATTTTGTCGATCGATCCTTGGAGAGCAGCCACTGGGTAACCTTCCGTGTAAGTACGATAAGAGATTCGTCGCGCACCTTCGTCACCAACAATACGCTCTTCACCGTAAGCTTGAGCTTGATGCTCCCTAGTTTCTTTGACAGCTTGCGCACATTCCATGCCATGTCCGATAGCTGCTTCTTGGTCAGGTGACGTGATTGCACCACTGTAGGAGGTGTCTTGAGAGCCTTTCGATCCTTCGCCTCGGACGGTTTAATCGCATCGTCGTCGTCAACGCTCGTTTGTGGAGTGATTGTTTCGTGCGCCTTGCTCGGCTTCAAATCTGGTCGTATGTCTTTGGATGGCGGCGTTATCCATTCACCCATTATCAATGAATGCACGAAGCATGCTGTTCTCTCGTCGGAACTGTCAATGTGTGGTCTTGATCTTGCGTCGTCTACCGAAACCAACGACGACTTGCGGCGGTGACTGCAGTCGGGGTAAATCACGACCTAGCAGGTAGGGGTTACAGCGGTTAGCAGAAGGTTCAATCTCAGTACTCGTGGGTTTGTGCGTTTGTTGTACCTCCAGCTGGTTAGGCATTTCTGTGTCGCTGATTGCCCCTCCGTGGTCCTTCCGTCAGGTCAGCTCTGGCAGTTCCGCCAGTGAGGGTCTGGCGACTTACAATGTCATCCTGCAACAGCCCCTTCTCCATTATGCCACAGCTCTATTCTCAAAAGTAACTGATTCTGAGTAGCTTTCTGATGGCCTTCTGGCGCGATTGTCCCATAATGTGTGGATTGAGAATCTGACTTGCTGCGTTCAGTGAGTTGTTACGGTTCCGTTCGAAGTGGGTATGACGTCGTTACACGGCTCAAACAGTCATCATGTCTAATCCTGCTGAAGTGCATATCAACGTGAATACTTGCCAACGCTCATTGTTGGCGCTAATTTGGTGTTTATTGTGCTTGTAGTTTTGGTGTGTCTTTCCAGCATATCCAGTTGTATGATTTGGCTAGAATGGTCCGTCTACTTGGCCTGTGGGGATCTATGCCAATCCCTCCATGTCAGCGATATATATATTCATGATAGCTCAGTACAACTTCTGGTGGGTATTACCCAAATATACCCACGCTGTGTGCTATGATGCAGTAGCTAATAGCCATGTTGAAACTAAGGATGCATTCGTTCTCACGTTAATCATAGAACAAAGAGTATCATATACGCGCGCACAACGTAAGGACGAATATAATATTGAGAGCAGACAATAAGGTCTCCTCCCGGTCGATGTTGATACCCTTCCCGCCATCCACCAGCCTAGAACCTAGTAGTTCAACCTGAAAAACATAGTCATCGAGGGGCAAATGTGAAAGGGAGATGAACACCATGGTCTCTGAGACAAGATGCACAATCCTCAACCACTATAAGAGTACATTCCCATATGCCAGGGACATTAGACTCCAATAATAAGGGAGCATACTGTGTCGAAGTCGCGACGACTGACCTTGCGGTCTAATAGGGACAAATGGAGTATTGCATGTAGCTAGGTAAATGTATCAGCAAAGCTCTCATCCCCGCATCAGTGTAGGCTCAGCATTCGGCATTCGAGGACTTATTCAGCTTAAATCGAATAGTATATTATATTTTCATTTTCGGCGTTCTTCAACAACTTGTCTCCGTGGCCCAGCTGGTTAAGGCGTCCGACTGTTAAGCTAGCTGCTCCTAGCAATCGGGAGATCGGCAGTTCGATCCTGCCCGGGGACGAATTTTTTGTTCTTCTTTCTGCGGTTGGCAGTTACCACCGATCTCCATCAGTCCAAACTCTGCCTTGACTCAATTACCAGCGATCGTGACTTTTTCTATTCCGTAATAATATCGATAATAATAGGTAGATTCCTCCTGCGAGGCTGCAACCACTCGGCGGACTGGGGTGTGCGTGAAGGCATCCTCTCTATCAACCGCACAAGTGAGTTTGATGGCATTCAATGTCCCTAGTCTCATGTATCCAAAAGCGAGTTTGGTTCTTCAACGATTGGTCTCCATGGCCCAGCTGGTTAAGGCGTCCGACTGTTAAGCAGTAGCTGTGCAATCGGGAGATCGGCAGTTCGATCCTGCCTGGGGACGAATTCTTTTTTGCCTTTCTACTTTACACCCTCTGCTGTCAATCACTCCTTAATCTGCCTTATGATTTCTGCCTCAATTCATCATCAACGCTAGCTCAGTGTTTGACGCACCGTCTGAAAGTGGCAAACAATTCGTCCTGTGTTGCTGCAGTGGTCAACAGCGGGACAGGCAGCAGTCAAGTTTGAGGCTGTGTAGAGTACTCCGTAGTCGAAGTTGATCTAGAATACCATGGCACTGAACATTATTACCGGCCACGCGAGAAAGTTCTAGCCTTTTGGTCCCTCCTTTAAGCTGGTACTACGCCCTCTGTTCGTTTGAGACGCTTACCAGATGAACACTCAAGGCATCCAGATTCCCAGTCAGATACAGGTCCTGGTTCCTTCGTTCCCGTCCGAGCTTTTAGCCTGGTCGTATTTCCAATGCCACGTACGGCTAACTTGGCTGACACGACCGCAGCTGGGAAGCCACCCAACTCGGCCATGTCCTCCGAGTCGATGATTTTCAAGCGCCTTGAGACACGCGCTGCACTCACTTAGCCAATCAGATGTCTCCATGGCCCAGCTGGTTAAGGCGTCCGACTGTTATCGTTGTCCATTGTTGGACTCGGCAATCGGGAGATCGGCAGTTCGAGCCTGCCTGGGGACGTTTTTTGTACTTGGTAAAACATACGTTGACCCTTTTTTGGTGCACAGAAGCCCCCTTTCTTCATTCCTCATGGTATTTTTGGCTCCTGAAAAATATGTGAAGGCTGTGTGGCTTTGCCAAAGGGGAAGTACGGCGAGTTTCTCAAATGATAGCTGGTTGTTCTCTCAAGGGGATGGATGCGGATATGACCATGTCCTGTACAGCTCTTAAAGTTCCGAGAACTACGTATCTGTCCTTACGGAGTACAGTCTTCTTTAGCTTGAGGTGGTAGTGACTTTGACACTCAGTTACTTGAGTAGCACTGTTCCTTGGGTGACGTTCACCCACCCAAGGCTCCCCTTTTGCACGTTCTGATTACATACTACTTTGACAGTATATTCGGCTGTGCCGGACCCGGCCCATGAGTGGGCTGATCCAGTAGGGAAAAAAAATCAGCAAAGTGTTCAAATTCGAAGACACAAAAATTCGTCCCCAGGCAGGATCGAACTGCCGATCTCCCGATTGCACAAGCTATTGCTTAACAGTCGGACGCCTTAACCAGCTGGGCCATGGAGACTTGTTATTGTTTCTGCCGGCCGCATTTAAAGCCCTATAAACCTGAATAATTGTAAACCACGAAACTTGTTTTGCGGCTAGAACCACTTGGCTTTCGAAATCCATGGAATCGCTCAGGATCAGCGCCAGCGTGGGCGTCATTCATTCCTTCCCTTGCTGTGGTTTCTTGCTCGTATGAATCTGATCTGGACCATCTACGCTGTGTGACGTATAACGGACATTGCTCCCGAAAGTTCAGAAGGGAAGATCCTTTGATGATCCCTCGGCATTGCCTTGCCTGTGATACATCACTCCAGCATGGACCACATGTGTACATGCCTGGCTGTACGACTAGATGCTGGAAACTAGGATTCTAGGATGTAATCAAGTGCATATCACATGCAGTATGGTGTGCTGTCTTTGCTTGAGGTTTGCCTCTATTTGCAAGTGAGCAAGTCTGTCTACAGGAGTATGGAGAGCGTCAGTGTCATATCATCTCTACACTGCGTTTGAAGAGTCTGCCTTTGCTGATATCAACGATCCCGATTTGGAAGTAAGGTAGTTTCGAGGAGCTGTCTGGTGCCATCAGCCGTGATTGGTCGGGCACCCAAACATACTGCCTGACGTATTTGGTGTGCTCTGTACGGAGTAGTATTCATATGCAGGTGCGATATGCATGTACGCATTTGACTCATGGCGACCTGCAGCTGTCCGCCAAATCATTCTGGCGATGGAGAGAGAACATGAGCAGGATTCTGTTCTCCTTTCTTTGAGGATGGTTGAGCGCAGACTGCAGACCCACCTTGTCGTCGGATCGTTCTCCCAACTTCAAACCCATGACCAGGCGTATCTACTATCTGAGTCTATGGTGCAGGATTTCAACAGTAGATCCAGCCTGTATTGTATTTTGATGCTCCGCCACCAAGTGCAATGAACGCGCACTGTACCAACTTGCCATGTTCGAGTCACCTCTAGTCTGGAAGCTTTGCCAGGAAATGTTCTTCGTGCCAGTCACACGATGCCCACTTCGCCTTTCTCAAAGCAGGCTCCATAAGAACCATCCACTTGAGCTGGCTTACTTCCGTAATAATAAAGCCTAACAGGCCACAGCCATCAGGTTCTTGAACTTCCTGATTTAGGTTTAGGTTCAGTTCGACAAAGGTTGAGCTCAGACGTTGTGGCGCTCGGACGTAGCACGCGGCGCGCAGCGGCAGAAGGATGAAAATTTGGTTTCACACAAATGAACCTAATCCTACGAATGGATACGATGCATCCGCTAAGGAGCTAGCAGGGCCTGGCACTGCAGGCTGGCATGCATGTCGGGGGCATATGAGGCACACTCTGTGCCATCTCATTGCTGCGGTTGATATGTCTCATAGTGACAGCTTGGGGTGCGTGATTGCAGCAAGCGCCGCGGGAAACAGACATCTTAAACGGTGAGTGGCTGTGGCAAACGGTGTACGCGGCCAAACATGGTAATTGAAGGACTATGAATCCTTCAAGGATGAGGTTACTCAGCTAGAGCGCGGGCTGCGCGGCCGAGGCGAGATTACAAAGGCCACTTGGAAAATTCAATTAAAAATGCTGAAATAGCGCCTAAGCCCGCAGTGAACAGATGTTTGACCAATGATAATGCAATCGGCTACAGTTATTTCCCAAAGTATCACAGGATCTGGCCCCGATGACATGGAACTAAGGCAAGTCAAATCAATTAGCGGGATTTCCTATGCCCGAGCTTTGCGGTCTTTAAACTTTGAGTGGCTGGCATCTAGCGCTGAGTCGAGTGCTCTTTCAAAATCAGGATTGAATCATGTTCAATGAACCCTGATGGAGAGATGGTAGACAAGTACGGCGTACATGTCTTCTGATCTGACATCCCTTGTCTCTGTGTGATGCTTACTGCCTGTGCCTCGTTATGTGGATCAAGTCCGAGTAAGTAACTATTAGAGGTGATCACTACACGGCTGTGGAATTTAACTAAGTTAGTGTCGTCGATTATTGCCCAGTTCCAGGCTTCTCCTGTCTTGGGCGGTTGGATTGTGACCGCCATTTCGGGGTTGCTGGATTGAGCCTGGTACAGCAGCGAGGCGCTAAGTAGGCGGAGACAGCCAAGTCCTACCCCGTTTGGAGTCTTGGAGACTTGAATTACTACTTACTTACACTCCAACCATAGTGTGCGATTGACGATCAGAGGATTCTGTCGTCATGATTGCTCCTTTGATCCTTCTAGTAGTGTTTAATTATGACAACGGAGAGGCAGTTGACCCTAATCCTGTGAGGCTGTGGTAGTCATTGAAGAGATGCCGACCGTGCCCGCGGTGAAGGCATAGGGGATAGATTTTAGAGGGGCTAGACTAGTTCCAGGCCAGCTGATACTGTAGCATTGATGTGGCCTGTGGGCGTTTGATAAGATCATCTCTTGTGACAGATTTTCTCCCCGAGGCCCCAGCTCGTATGCAAGCGGGCTGTTATTCTTGAGCGATCGGCGAATGGAATGGAATGGAATTAATTTTTGACTGCTATTTGAGACAACTGTCTGACTAACTCCAGGTCCAAGCCCAGGGCAAACAGCAGGGAGCAAAGTATGCGGCGACCTTCCCTTTTACCTGGTAGTATCCCTGMACGACGCCATTTAAAGTGGAGACAAGCGATCAAATGGATAGATCATCAGCACACTAAGCACAACACTCCGTATAGGAGACTGACCCACTTGCATTGCCCATCAGCGTCTCAGAGCCACAGAGGAGAAGTGATCCAAGAAATTCGTAAGCATTGTTACCTACGTATCCGTACTGACCCCTGACTCAGGCCCAGTTTGTTCTATTAATTTTCTAGCCCCCCCCTGCGGTACCCGTGGGTCCGCACATGCGTCCTAACTTCCCGGCGGTTTCTTCCTGAAATCCGCGGCCTTTGATTCGCACAGCAAGTCAAATGATGATCTTAACCGTCCGATCAACTAGTACATTCTAGGTAGTGTTCTTAGCCATGTCGATGTCGATACTCGATAGGATGTTGGATACACACAGAGTACTGAGTTTACGAAGGTCAGACAACGGACTTGAATCCTATGCCATGTACATGACCGTTATGCTGAGATTTCATGAGAACCGCCTAAGCCCTCACAGGCGATCAAGGTAACCGCCCTTGGAAGCAGGGATTGGGGTGAGCAGGACAGGGGGTAGGAACATGAGAAATCCGCCTTGTTCGATGGCTTGATGCTCGGTTCTATGCTCCATAAAGCATACTAAACCGCTAGAAGTGAGCAGAAAGTCCGAGATAATACCTTAGTACTTCGTTCAGTATGCTGTAGCCTTGAGTTTTTATGTCGTGAGCCTTGAGCCTTGATGTCTTCGTGACATCGATCAATCTTTCAGAACCGTTGTTCAAGCTTATTGCTCTTGTGCAACTTTAAGAAACTCGTCCTTCATACGCTGTATCAACTTCTTTGAGGGCTGCGTTGGCCATCGCCTCATCAGTATGGAGCCACTATGGAGTACAAAGACACGAAGTAGTAGGTAATACTTGCTCCTCACACTCCAGTCCACTCCTAGCCGAAGTGTCAGTTGATAAATGAATCGTACCCCCACTTTAAATTGTTGAGCATATTTCATCCTTGGCTCTCCGTCAAACTTAGAAACAAAATAGTCGACTCATACATGATACATCGATACCCTGCAGTATTCTGTATTCCGTAACAAGTAATATTGGATATCTGCTGGTGGGAGTGCATTAGGTGATATTATTGATGTTGAAAGGCATACACTAATGCTGATCACAACCAGTGTCACATAGATATCAATATTTGTCCTTTTTACTTTTTTCAATACTAAATGTCTTACGCCCTTGTCCTGGGCTAACAAGCCACATAGAATATTAGTAAAGGTGGGACGAGGATAAAGATAAAATCTCACCATTCACATGACTCTTGATCTTAGTCTCTCCGAATCCTGCGCCTAATCGGACGGCCGAAGGCTTGGTATGGAGTGCTTAGCGTCTCCCTGATTACGAGATTACGAAGTCTAGCCGTTCATGATTAATCTATGAGTCCAAGTGTCCAACCTTATCCACCGCAGACTAGAAATGCAGAGTTAAGCCTATGACGATGGTGGATGAACTCTCCCCAAGCGGTTGGTTTCAAAACGAGATAGCGGATCACAACTTCAGAGAGTCCCCGGTGAGACCGAAGCATGTCTTATTTATAGTGATACAAGGGTGTAGCACAGGCAACAAAGCGATGAGCAAAGCTGGATACCATGGATAACACATAGATATATGCCTTGCAGAGTGACCTCCTTCAGCTTGGAGCGACGATGCAATTGTAACCCTTGCGTAAGAGGTATTGAGCATAGCAATATGTGACGCATCGAAGGAATGAACTTGTGGGGAGGCACTCGAGTGGTCAGGCAGGTTGCACCCTGAACCTGATACATAAATACGGACTTACGGACTTACGGAGTAATAATGATGATAGAGGTAAGGCCAGACTCAGCAAAGGAAGAAAACATTATTAGTATGTGGGCCAGCCTCCAACTTCAAGAGATATGAATGCCGAAAGCCGTAGCCACACAGCAGCGGGCGCCAGCGATGATAGGTCGAAATTTGCTAGTGTGGCTTCAACATTAAGAGACAACATTCCAGAAAAAGACGAACCCTTTTAAGTCGAACCTGCTAAACTAAACCGGGCGTGTCTCTCCGCAACATCGCAGCCACTTACTAATAGGGCCAAATTTCGGGCGAGAAGAAAGTGGAAAAAAGGGAAAAAGGAAAAAAGAAAATTAAAATAGGGAAATCCACTAATTCATATGTCGCTGCCAAACATCTTAAGTCATGATCCTTTTAAAATAACTCCATCCCTGATATGTACGGATACCAGTTCATATGAATGCTGGCTAGTTGATCATGTTAGCAGTACTCCGTAGGTCCGTAAGCAGTCACTACTGATGACAATACTACAGAGCCTGAGCCCTAGCTTTATGTATAGCTGCATCTGCATGGGGACCTCGGCAGCGCTCTCCGTGTCCATCATTAATACCTACTTGTATATTCAAATCGACAAAGCTGACTTGATGCGTGTGTAACCATCGACCTGATCACAAAGGAGGTAACTTATTTCTTGGTTATCTAGCCGCTTACACAGCAGTCACTTAGTCACACACGGGCCTTTGAACTTAAGTTGCTACTACGAAGTACTACGGAGTACGGAGTACTACTTAACCTAGTTTCAGCATGTTCCAGACACACTATCTTTCTGGTTCCTTCTCTGACTTCCTATCCTACCCTGCTCTAAGTGTTCCTTTTTATTTTCTTCTTGAAATCCCATCCAATGAAAACCCAACTCCTTGTAACCTTTCATGGGTCTGATCATCCCCACCAGTGGTAAGGTATTGAGCATTTCCTTCTCCACCAACATGGCGGCACCATGGTCACCACCGCTACCATGGGTCGAACCGTCCAGCTCATCAAGAGGGTCCAGAAATCAAGCCGGACTTCTGAAAAGGCGGTGGAAGATAGAGAAGAGAAAAATAAGAATTCTATACGGAGTACGGAAACGGAGTAGAGGAAAGAATTAATGCTACAGGCCTACGGCCCATGGAAAGGCAGTGGAGCCGCTGAGCTGAGGCATGGCCTCTGAATCATCACCTCCTTCCTGTTCCATCCCTGCCAGACCAGCCCTGCCTCCTCCGTTCCTTAGCCGACTTGCTTGTTCCATTCTTCCCCCCCTGTGAGACGCGGACCAAGTCAGCTATTTTGTTAGTGTCAACGTTGTGTCATCTCACTATTGAACATGTGTCCGCCAATAGATTGTCAGCTATGGAGTCCCAACCTTTGGATCGTGGAGCTGGGGCGGACGGTAGATCGGAAATGTAAGTTGATGCCACGAGTAACAAGTGACCCCATATTCATCACGTAGAATAAAAAAGAAATTTTATTATTAATTTTTTTTTTTTGTTCCATTTATTTCGTATTAATAAAATAATTATTTTTCTAAGAAGGGAAAGTAATTTGATGCAATGGGGACAGTGAAGATCTCTGGACTATCTGGCTTAAGTTACTACTTTATTACTTTACTACCTCCTTCTGCATGACTACTCGCTGGGTACCTTGCCATGAGCGCCCTGTGACCCCTTGTGTCATCTTTATATGATGAGTCTCGATCTCTGACCTTATTATTGTGCATCTTGCTGCAGTCATCCATGGATTTCAATCCACCTCCATCTGTCATATAACTCTGCGCTCTACATACCTTGTCCCTCTCTCGCCATATAACCAGCACCTTCATCCACTTTCAGCCAACTATCATAACCATTCCTGATCTGATTGATACTCTCAACATTGCCACCAATGGCCGACTGCTGGCAACCACAAGCCTCCGTAGCAGGTCCCTACTGGATTTCCCCAGGAGACCAGCCATGTTTCCGTACGTCGACGTTTCGTGACTTGATGTATGCTTTCCCAAGACCGAAGCACACTAGCCGGGTAATGAAACCCCGGAGTGCTGGAAACAGTCCTTCCTCTGCTGGCAAGCGAAGGGCCACCACGTCGCACACTTCACCAATGTACCGGCACCTCCCGCAGCAGTCTTATCAGGCTCAGATCCAAGCTGCTCTCGCGGCTTCCGCCATCCGCAGAACACGCCAACCGCGACCAATGAGTTGGCACCCGGCATCACTGCGATCAACAGGATATTCCACCTCTCAGTACTTACCGGCCACCACTATGTCTGGAAACCTTGCTACCACAGGCTTATGTGCTTCGTCATCCAACACGCTTCCTGTTACGTACGGTGGCGACGACATTCTACCTGCGTACCCCGCCTCAGATGCGGCGATGTTCTCCTCTCTGTCCGGCATGGAAGATCCGACAATTATGCAGCAACAGTACCTCCCGCAAACGAACGGCTCGCAGGTCGAGCCCATCACCTGGGACTCCGGTGCGTCTATCTTATCCGCGATAGCTCCGCCCATGTCTGAAGGCTGGTCCTTCGATATGATGTCCCTGAACAGCAGTATTCCTGGGGCGGACGTTGCGGGATCGACTTACGAGAGCGCGCCGTCTTCTGGACCTCCCACTCCATTTCTGCCCATTCAGCAGTTTGATGAGCCGGATGCGGTTGAGGAGAAGCCTGAGGACGAGCTTGTCGGGATGGGCCTGTACAGCAATCCTGACGCATCGCTGAATGCGTCATTGACTGGACTAAGCGGCAAGGGGTTGAAGCTGGAGGAGACTTTTACACCATCACCGGACGACGAGACCGAAAATCAGGACGCTGACGGAGAGGATGATGACCTGCAAGAGACCGCAGAGAAGCAAGCCAGCAACAGCGTCGATGCTCGTCAACCGCAACTGGGGCCTCAAACATATGCTCAATCTGTGAAACCAGCAGAGAATATGCTTAACAAGTCATTCTTTTTCGAGGACGATGGCAGACTAGACCAAGATGGCGGATTAGTCCCCCAGCAATTCTTCAGTCTAGAAAATCAGCCATGCATGAATTATGCATATGGGTGGATATGAAATTTGGAATCTGTTTCTTTGCTTTTTTCCCTCGACAAATCTTGTCTCTCCTTTGTCTTCATCCTTGTTTCATGGCATAGCGCGGAGTTTTGATTTTTATGAGTGGCATGAACTTTGACGAGGATACCCAACGGAAGGTACAATGATATGAATAGCTATATGCATTAGACAACTGAGCAATAGACGGGCAACTTGCTAAGACTAAGATTCGTTTCTGAGCTGTGTATCGATCTGATCTGTAACTGATTTCTGGATTTACTCATTCATTTTTTCCTTTTTCTTCATGCCTGGTGTTCAATCAGAGCTTGAGAAGAGACGAGTCAACTCTCTTAATCAGTCAGCTGAAATGGTGTCTCCTCCCCGTCTCCATGGTCTCCACGAGGTAAGATTGATAGTAGGTAGCCTCACAGACGAAGATGCCAGCTCTCACGGCGTCCTGTTTCCCGACTGAATAGCTGTGCAAACTGCATCAAGACGTTCAGGAATTGAAAACCCAAACTCGGATGGTCTGATTCTTGAAGACTTCAAGTATCAAAGCCTGGCGAGAACAAAAGCACCACATTCTGGGTAGATCATCATCTTTTGCCTCGGACATTATCAGCTCATTCATTCACAGTATTAGACATGTCCGTTAAGTCTCATTTAGCCTCCGGCGTGACTTCAAAGCGGTGCTTGCCTTGAGAGTCTTGTTGGGCTCCATCGCCAACATAGAATCTGCCAGGTCAACATGAGAGTGATAATTTCTAAGGGTACCTCAGCTATTGCATTATTCCCAACTGCCAGAGCAATTGTTAATAATCTCGTAGAATGTCCGCAGACTGTTGATGGACATTGAAACAAATTCGGGACCAGTCGGAAGGAAAAACAATTCGCCGATATAAAAATCCCGTCGATCAGATACAGTGGTACAGACAATAGAACGAGACTCACGAGAGAATTACGGATACTTCTTAACTGAAAGATCCGGGGGAGCAAAATGGCAAAAGTATTCTTTACGCCGTGGAAGGACCATTCTCAGTTACTCACTGTCCGGAATCAATTCTATCCTCCGCCAGCCTATGATGGACCGGATTTGCGCTCAAAGGCCTGCGCAACGGTACGTAGTTTCTACATTATGCTTGAATATCATGATTAACGCCCCCAAGGTCGGAATCTGGAAGCTCCGTGGCAACCTCCCACATCCGGTTGAGGCTACTGCCTTATTAACGGATGCGATTCTTCACGACGACGCTCAGAAAAATTCCATATTCTCGATTCGAGCGACCTACTCAGCTGCTTTTTGTCGGTCAGTCACTTTTTATGCATTTGCGACACGGGTGCATCTCTAACGCAGGTCTATTAGATTTGTAACGGGTCTCGTTGACTCGAAACTCCATGGACAGAGGAAGACCATGTTTCAACGAGCGATTGACCTCGGGCTTCCAGCATCGTTTGTTGAGCTGCGTCACGAGGCGACCCATCGAGAGTTACCGTCTCTTGTGGTACTCCGCAATGCGACGCAGCGCTCATTAGAGTGGCTCTGGGACTATTACTGGGCGAAGACAGACTCTGATGTTGCGCTTGTACMTGGAAGGCCTGCGCCTGCGGTCTCTAACGGTGCCGACGATGGCAATGTAGAAGAAATCAAGAGCATCGTCAGATCTGCTCTGGAGCATCCAGTGAGCCAGGGAGATCTTTCAGAGCCACCACGGAAGAAGAGGAAGTCAGATCATCACTCGTCATTCCTTGCGGCGCAGCTGGTGGCGATATGCAAGGTATCAAGAAGAAGTCCTCATTCACTTTCCCGAGTCCTAATTGAGGATTCAATCATTGTGCCAAAGGGGCGAAAGTAAGTCTGCCTTTGATATGCACCGTTAGTGGATTATCCCCAGCTAATATATCTTTACAAGACTTGGCGATTCCATGGACGAAGCATTCACCAAGTGGGACAAACCACTGCAGACTGTAACGGCAGACTACCCTACATTTTTACCAGCCCTGACCGAGGAATTGGTCAATGAAGTGGCATTCACGAGTCGACCGAATACGAAGAATGATCCCCAGTGCGAGGCGATTTATATGTGGCTGGACCACATTTTGAACTCGTCGGAGTGGAGTACAGCGCGGCAATCGCTTTCCCTCGGATACATCCGCACTGTCTGTGAACAAAGTTCGAATTACTGGCTGGATCAGCTCAAGGGCGGTGTTCGCTCGGAGGATGATCGTTTGCCTCCTATTTCTAGAGATAAGAGCAACGCTCCAGCTCGATCGCAGAAAAGATCTGAAAGTACGACACATGCCCAGCATACCGAAGATGACCTACAAGGGCTGCAAAAGTTCGGGTGGGAAAGGTTAGATACGTGGGATACCAGACCAATAGGGATAGTTTGACTTGAGCAATGGTCTACAACCTACCATCCCCGTTTCGCACGACTCACAACTCGGAAGAGATTCTGGATGGATCAAGAAATACCCTTTATATTCATTACATTTGGTACAAGTCGTAGGAAAGACAAATGAGCGATGTATATAATTTTCCAAATACGGCTTAGTGTCAACCACATGATCCGGAGCTACTATGAGGTAATGCTCCGGATTGTCTTCATTCATCGAGAGACCTACCGCTTATTACTAAATGATCTCAGCTATCACCCCGCATTTTCTCTCTCTATTCACTCTCGTCAATGAACTTCCTTAGAGCGATTAGACCGTACTGTGGATCTCGATACTCAAGGACACATCACGTCAGAACCATGCATGTACAATCAATTCCTATGTGTAAGTTGGATATACACCGTGCCTTGTCCAGTCTTGATCGATTCAGTGTTGGTTACCTAAGCATATTTGACGCTCACACTATTGTACAGGGACGGGGAAGGGCAATAACTATGCCTACCTCGTGACGGACGAGCCGACAAAAGAGTCCGTCATCATCGACCCGGCTAATCCGCCAGAGTATGCTGTTCGTCAAACGCGCTTGTGGAATCGACTCTGATGTTCTGCTAGAGTAGCTCCAGAGCTTGATGCTCAGCTCAAGGCGGGCAAGATCAAACTCACAGCCATCGTTAACACGCATCAGTATGTCTCGGCATCCAGTTGTCACTGGATATCTGTATTAACGTGCTCGCCTAGTCACTGGGATCATGCTGGTGGCAACAATGAAATGGTGAGCATAGTTAGCTATGCTTATGCGCTCTTCTGACTAACACATGCAGCTGAAACATTTTGGTAAACTTGCAGTCATCGGAGGCAAGAACTGTCAATCAGTCACGCAGACCCCTGCACATGGGGAGACATTTAAGATCGGGGAGCGGATCTCCGTCAAAGCACTGCACACCCCCTGCCATACTCAAGATAGTATCTGCTATTATATGCAAGATGGGGACGAAAAGGTGGTATTTACTGGTGACACCTTGTTCATTGCAGGTAAGATGTGCATTTCCCGGCTGTAATCGAACGAATCTCACACCCCGCAGGATGTGGCCGCTTTTTCGAGGGAAATGCTCAAGAGATGCACAAAGCGTTGAATGAGACTCTTGCCTCGCTTCCTGATGACACCAAAGTCTATGTAAGCTGCTAAGAGGCCACCTCTCATTGATGCAGAAGACTGATTTCTTATAGCCCGGCCACGAGTATACCAAGAATAACGTCAAGTTCTGTCTTGCTGTATCTCAATCGGAACCGATCAAGAAGCTAGAAGCATACGCAAATAAGCATCAGCAAACTCAGGGCAAGTTTACTATTGGAGACGAGAAGGTATGGACTCCGTTGCCGTTTGACCGCTCTAGCTGACGAGGTTGCATAGCTGCACAATGTATTCATGAGAGTCAATGTAAGAAGATCCAGCCTTTCCATCTCTAATTATACTTATTATCTGACTGTTACATAGGATCCTGAGATCCAGAAGAAGACCGGAAAGACTGATCCGGTGGAGGTGATGGCAGCTTTGAGAGAGATGAAGAATGCTATGTGAACAAGTGATATAGGAATAGTTTTGAACACCATCTGTTCCATTGACTGAACTCTGCGCAATCATGACTATAATAACAACACCGAGGCCAATTGGATTTCTCAGTCAGCGAGTCTGTTGCAGAGGCATGATATGACATTTGATTGGTCATAGCATTGCGTCGGCGCAGTTACTCTCGGGTAGATCGACTACCTTTAGCTTCGATGATCTCCGCATAGAAGTAGGAACGCTTGATAGATCCATGTCAAGAGCACTGCTCAGGTAGTCGGCTGGCAACGCAAAACTGCAAGGGTTTATCGTTTCTTTTCAATTGGTGAAGCTGGGAATATCACAAGAGTGTTGTCTGATCCGTAATCATCATGACGTCAGCCATAGACGAAACTCCTGTTTTCAACGGAATAAACACCCGGAGCAATTGCAGTTAAACTGAGACAACAATCTTCGTTCTTATAATCATATCTCCCTAAGCTCAGACTTTGCAATTGGAATTGTATCGTGCAACCATGTCCTGTCATCAACACATCCCCAGAGACGAAGATGGAATCCCGGGCTCGCCTCTCACCACCAAAAGCCGTGTCCTGGAAGGCGGCGCCAGCATGGTGCAAGATTTCACGCCTGTCAAACAGATCTGCGCCCATCTAAATGCATTCCACATCTATGCGTCGGATCCGACAAGAGCTGTCGAAGCGAATCATTATTGTACACATGTTACAGAAGGTCTTCATAGCTCCCGTCCTTCAGCTCCAGAAAGACGACAGCTGATCTGAAATGCAGACCTCAGGCAGTGTCTGATATACGATTCCACTAAGCCTAACGCCCGATTGATCGGCGTCGAGTACATGATTTCCCCACGCTTATTCGAGACCCTCCCGTCCGAGGAACGCAAATTATGGCACACCCATGAGTTTGAGGTCAAAAGCGGCATGCTGATTATGCCCGCTCCCGCCGGAGTGCCAAAGCCTGCCTGGGAAGCAGCGGAAACATCAGAGATGAGGGAGGTCATTCCGCTGTACGGGAAAACGTATCATCTTTGGCAGGTGGACCGGGGCGATCCACTTCCCTTGGGAGCTCCACAGCTCATGGGTAGCTTCACTTCTGAAGACAAAGTCAAGTACGCTCATCCGCAGGGTCTTGATGGGTTACTTGCGGAGAGGGACAAGACGTTTGGGGTTGATTATAAGGTTAAGGCGGAGAAGAGGAAGGATATCGAGCCGCCCAACTTGAGTCCTGGTAAGTATTTTGAGTCATGGTTGAGACGTTGTGAATTTGCTGACGACTGTCACAGATGCCGACGCCATGTGGAAGAATAAGTAAAACAAAGCTGGGTCACCAAGAGATGGGACATGATGGAAGACCATGCGGCAGAGCAGACTGTCATTGATGTGCATGGCTGGTTACTGAGCAGGATATCCTGAGAACCTTTAGCCATCTACGGGCACATAGCAATTTCTCCCCTGGAGCATTTTGAGAATGAATTCCCGAGTATTATCAAGAGCATGGGTCTCATAATACGAAGGAGAAAGGGAACGAAGGACGGAAAAAGTATCATTACCACAAACACTATCTCATATCTAATTTGTCTCCCACCCACGCCATCCAGCATCCCAGTCCCATAGTTAAATGGGGTCAAAGCTAAGACAGCGTTCGGGGATATCTCGCCACTTTGTGGTAGTCGAGACGTATAATGTTCATCTTGCTTCTCTGTCCACACTCGCGCGTCCTGGTGTTGTATTTCGGAAACGGCGAGCTCTAGCAATTTAGAAGCTGTGTTGGTAGGAACACTAGTAACTGTGCTCGTTGGAAATTCCCAATATAACTCAATCATTCAATTGTTGTCGACTGCAATTCGCAGCTGAGATCCTTGCACAATCGGAACCCATTGATATGCGGCCATTACGCAATATGAATTCCTCGAAGACGGTAATCACTCAGCACTGTAGAGCGAAGACCAGCTGGCTCGTCCCATACCAGACATAATGGTTGTGGGAACAGCCAGCCTCAGCTTCTCAAAGCCGAAGGAATGAAAACAAAAGTAGGAGGAACCGCAAGTGCGAAAAGAATTTTAAACGAAGATCGCAGCACGTGACTGGGCTCGGCCGTGCCGCCTCTCCGCCTACAAGCAATAAAAGAGGTAGATAGCTCCAATCAGCTCACCAGAACCAGACACACCATCAACAGTCCAGAAATGCTCTGACCACACCAATGGAACGAATATTCCGCTCCGCGCTGAGAAGCGCAACCCCGGGCGCCGTCTTCCGCCTCACACTCGACGGCCTGGGCCTGTTCTGCGCATGCACTCTGGTCTGGGAGCACCTGATCACCGTGCAGCTCAGCGAGGGACCCTCGATGTACCCCACCTTCAACCCAAGGGGCGATTACCTGATGATATCGCGGGTGCACAAGTACGGCCGGGGGATTGAAGTAGGCGATGTGGTTCGGTTCTACCATCCGACGTTCTTGGGAGTCAATGGTGCGAAGAGAGTGCTGGGGATGCCGGGGGATTTTGTCTGCAGGGATCTGCCGTTTAGTACAGAGGTTGGCACGAGTCGGGAGATGATACAGGTAGGGATTAGACACGGTGGTTTGCAGGTGACTGGAGTTTACTAATTGCGTGCTGTGCTTAGGTGCCTGAAGGCCATGTGTATCTCGGCGGAGACAACCTGCCCTGGTCGAGGGATTCGAGGAATTATGGACCTATTCCTATGGGGTTGATCAACGGGAAGATCGTCGCTCGTGTTTGGCCACCGTCAAAGATGCAATGGGTGCAGAATACACTGCAGCCAGCTCAGTTGGATGAGGAATAGACGGACTACCAATTTGCATTGCGGCGCATAGTTAGGACAGAGGTTAGGAGTTCGGAGTTGGCTAAACTTGTGTACATATTCATACATGTCGGTTGTACAATACAGATCTATCACCTGAAAGCTGTAACGGACAGGAAAAATGCGCAAAAGGATACATAAGCAGATCATCGGAAGGTGGAAGGATTCCTTCTCTTGTAAGGCAGAGGATCAACTCTCTTCCGGCGGAGTTCTACGTCGGCATCGGGGAAACCAATCTCTCTCATGACTTCCAGCATGTTCTCATCCCATTGGGTTCTGAACAGGTGCGCCCCAATGGCCTTGAGGTGATATCTGGCCTGCAGTGTCCGGAGAAGGACGTCACGGCTCGACTCCATGCCCTTCACCAGAGAAAAGTTCAATGGAGCCGAATCCTTTTGCTCCATGATGAAGATGGAGAGTCTGTGGTAGGGACTGCCCTTCTGAGCAACCGGGGGCAGCCAGGGAAGAACAACCTGCGAATCTGCTGACAGGTTGGCGAGATCAACCTTGGTGGAAGTAGCGGAGATGGGGACGTTCACTGCAAGGTAGTGCATCTTGTAATCGAATCCGTCCTTCTCGACGTTGGGAACATCCGAGTCGACAACGGCTATCGTCACGAGCTTCTCACCAGCCTCAAATAGCTGTACATCGAGCTTGGGGGCCGTCGAGCTGACCCGGGAGTTGACGAACTCTCCAGGTTGAATCGTGTGTCTACCGAAATAGAGCTTGGTGTCCACAACAGGATCGCAGTGAGGTAGAACATCTGGAATGACCTTCATTTGGGTAATTCTCTGCACCAAAATCTTGCGACGGTACTCTCTCCACTTCCGATCGGCCAGGAAGCGGTAAATAGGCTTGGTCATGTCACCTAGGTTGCAATTCAAGGTTAGTTGCATATGGCTACTTGAAGTAAATGTTATTCTTTCTTTGACTCATACCTTGCCCATCTTCAAACTTCTTCTTAACGATAGGATCATTGATATCGGCATGGACCTTGAGACGCTCAAGCTCCAGTTCCATTGCCCGCAATTTCGACTTCTGCACTTGCTCGCCGCCAGCCTCTTCCGTAGGGGTAGCCTGGAGCCTCGCAATTTTCTCCCGCATGGCCGTAATCTTATTGATCTTCTCCTGGCGATCTGCGAGTAATACCTTCCGGGCTTCTTGGAAGCATTGATAGGGCAGTTGCTCAAAGGGGATGTTGGCGGAGTTCTGCAGTGCTGCTCGACGACGGCGGGATCCAATGGGCGCAACGCCTTGCTTCAGCAGTTTCCTTTCCAATCGCGGACTTGTCACGAGAGCCGGATCGGGGTTTTTGTAGAAGGGTTGGCTTTGGGTCTCGGTCTGGGCTTCCTCGCGAGCCAGAGCGGTCGACTGAAAGGTCCGCGTCGACTGCAGCTGGAGGCCTGGCAATCCTCTAGTATAGGTCTTTTGGATGCATTGAAGCAAAGGCCTCGATGCCCGCTCGCAGGGAGCCATTGTTGAGAGAGATAATGTGATGATTGCGGTGGAGGAAAAGGTGATGATCGTGTTGTCGGGGCAAAGGTGGTAGAGTGTCGGACGGAACTCTTTTTTTCAGTCCGGCAAAGCCAAGCCTCACCCAACTAGCGCGGACCACCGCAAAGCCCCGGATTGAACTTTTGCTTCACCTGCCCTTGTTCGATAACACAACAACATAGGGCACCAAACAGCAAAATGCCTGGAACAGACGCTCTTCGTGCTCTCAGGTGGCTTTCGCGAAGCTCAAGTGGCCTGTTGTCGGGCGCTGAAGCCACAACGGTACTGACTTTTCCCTTGCTGAGTCGCAATGATCTTTGACAATTCGCATACTGACCATATGTCCTTACTATTAGAAGCGATGCATGGCAACACCTTTTTCGAGATCAATGGGTACAGAAGCCCAGCCTACGACCGATTTCCTCACAAGAGAGTCCTCGACCGTCTCCCAGCCCGCATGGGGCACACCCGTCAAAGCCACCACCTACTCATTTCCATCAATGGAACCCCTGCGTATCGTTGAATACCCTCGAAACCATCTTTTGATGCCTCTACGAAAAGACATTCTTCACCGAGCCGTCGTCTACGAAGGTGACATGACCCGGCAAGGTACAGCAAGCACAAAGTGGAGAGACGACGTTCATGGCAGCGGTAGAAAGCTCTACGCGCAAAAGGGCACCGGTCGGGCGCGTGTTGGCGACAAAAAGTCCCCAATTCGAAGGGGAGGAGGTGTCGCTTTCGGTCCTCATCCTCGCGACTTTGCTACGAGTCTCCCCCAGAAGATCTACGACCAGGCGTGGCGGATAGCTCTGAGTTACCGGTACAAGCGAGGCCAGCTGATCATCATCGACAACGAAATCTCGATTCCCGAGGGTGCCACCCCACATCTCATCAAGGAGATCTTCAAAGTCAACTGCTGGGGCCGCGAGTTTGGACGCTCAACATTAATCACAGATCAGCTGAATGAAAGTTTGTTCGAGACGGTACGTGAGGTGGGCGAGCACGCAAAGATCCTGGACCGCAAGGACGTGGACGTCAAGGATCTCCTGGAGACAGGAAGACTGGTCATTGAAAAGCAGGCGCTGGACCGCATTCTGTCTCAGCATTCAAGGGACTTGGCCAACAAGCCTGCCACGGCTGTGTATTAGTGCAAGAAGTTTGGCTTGGGCTATCTACGATTTTCGATTGTATTAAAACAATGGTATCTTGTGTATAAATAGATTGAAATGATATGAGTATCTTTGAGCCAGCGGCAACGACTATCGACATTAACAATAATTGTGACTGAGGCTTTAAAGCCTCCATGTGAACCTCCTAGGGTGTCTACTCCAAGATTTCGTATCAATTCTCTTAATTCCGGTTCAAGCGCTATCACGTAGATACATTACTTAATTTGAATCTTCAACTCCCGTTGCTCAGCTAATTCCGTTGTCGAACCGCTCGTAGCCGCGGAATTGGGGATGTGCTCGGCAGCAAAACCGTCCATCTTGTCCCAGCTGCCGGCGGAGGAAAATCAATCAGCGCGAAAAACTCCGAGGTCAAGCGTCCATCCAAAGCGGAGAAACGACATTCTTTCCCGAGTCATAAGCACTAACTTTCTCCATTTCCTTTCATTGTTCGTTTCTCCTCAACGACGGACTGTCGTCTGCCTAGATGTTACTACGACGCAGTTTCTGCCGCTTACCAACGCCGGCGAGCTGGATCTCGCGGGTTTCACCACCAATGCCTCTCCGCGCCAAAGTGACGAATCCAGCATTCGGGGCTGCTGCTAAGGTATTCCCTATGGCTTGAGTCTGGCCGACGAATACGATTTCTAATTGATGTCTACAGATGTCGACTGCTCCCGAACTCCCCAAAGAACTCCCCGGAGACGAGCCCGACGATGTCCTATTCAGCTCCCTCTACGGTGTACGATTGATTGAGCTCAATCGCCCCAAGAAGCTCAATTCGTTGAACGGGTCAATGGCACGGAAGATTCTCCCTCGGTTGAAGGTTGGCGACTCCGATCCTGCAGTGTGTGATAACGTCTTGGTTGCTAAGCCGGTGGAATAGGAATGGGAAAAATCCCAGCTCGCAAACATTGTCATGCTTTCCGGTGCTGGCACAAAAGCTCTCTGCGCAGGAGGTGACGTCGCTTCTCTGGCTCTGCAGAACGAGCAAGGGCCGGAGGGACAGCAGAAGTCGACCGATTTCTTCGGCCTCGAATACCGTTTGGACCACATCATCGCTACCTACACAAAGCCATTCATCTCGGTGATGGATGGAATCACGATGGGCGGCGGCGTCGGTCTCAGTGTTCACGCCCCTTTCCGCATTGCGACTGAGCGTACTGTGTTCGCCATGCCCGAAACTACCATCGGATTCTTCCCGGACGTTGGTGGCTCGTTCTTCCTCCCCCGTCTCGACGGTGAGCTAGGCACGTATCTGGCCCTCACCTCGGAGCGCCTCAACGGTGTGCAGGCGCTCTACACCGGTGTTGCGACACACTATTTCCACTCCAGTGTTTTGAGCAACCTGACGGCTCGTCTGGCGGAGCTGGTCTTTAGGGACCACGCGTCGCTTGCCGAGCGCTTGGACCTGGTCAACAAGACCATGGCCGAGTTCTCCGTCGGCCTTCCGCCGGTCGAGCAGGAGCCTATCCACCTTGCCGGTAGCCTGCGGAGTGCCATCGACCGCTGCTTCAGACACAAGACTGTCGAAGAGATCTTCCGGGCTCTCGAGCAAGAGACCGTACAGAAGGAATGGGCTCAGAAGACATTAGAGACCTTGTCTTCTCGCTCGCCCACATCGCTCAAGGTGACCTTGCGCCAGATGCGCGTGGGCAAGCAATGGTCCATTTCCGAGACCTTCCAGCGGGAGTACCATATTGCGGCTCAGTTCATGAAACACCCCGACTTCGTTGAGGGCGTCAAGGCCCGTTTGATGTCGAAGCCCCCTCGCCAGGCTACATGGCAACCTGCTACCCTGGAGGAAGTTACCAGTGATGCTGTGGATGCCTTCTTCAAGCTTGCCGAGGGCGAGTCCCGGCTCGCACTCTTCAACAAGACCGACTACAAGAAATACCCTCACGCCTACGGCCTTCCCAGCGAGGCGGAGATTGAGAGATTTGTACGCGACAGCTCAGAATCGGCCAGCAAGACCGTGGCCGATTTCGTGGAGAAGTGGGGTCACAAGGAGGGGGTTAGAGAGAAGGTTGCAGAGGTTTTGGCTAGACGAACAGTGCAGACTCCCGAAGGTCTGCGATGGGAGTAACTCAAGACAGGTGCAAATATCCAAAACGTTGATTTATAAGAGCTTCTGCATATGGTTGTAATCTTCATCTACATGTATTCTTCAATTAATTGGTACTAGACCCAGTCCCTATCCATCAACTGTACAAATGTCGCGTCAGGATTTGATCCTATGTACAACACGGTATTCTTTAGACATGCTAGAACGAGAGAATCCAAACATCCCCCAACCGCCCATTCGACTCATCCAACCCTCCCTGCACGACAATCGCATTCTCACCGTACACATMAGCAAACCACCCACGAGCACACGGCGTCTCACTACCCTGCGCATCTACCCTCCTCCAAGAGCGCTCCTCCACATCAAACACCCACACATCATCCAGCATCTTCCCCGCCCCCTGATGGCCCAAAGCACTAGGGTCCCTCTCCCCAAACAGCGTCACCAACGCCACCCGACCCCGAACCCGCACAGAAAGCAGCGCGCTGACGCTCCGCGCCTCAGGCCCACTCACCCCATCCGCCACAAACCGATAAGACGACCAGGCGTTCGCTTCTGGAGCGTACACGTCCACGCTGCCGCCTTGCTCCGTCTTCCCGTCGAATCCATTCATCCTGTACAGCGCGCCGTCGGCAAAAGCAATCGAGGTACCTCCGCGCGGGGGGTCCGGCGCGGACGCCAGCGGAGTCCATTCCCGGGTGGAGAGACGGAAGGCCCAGAGGTCGGAGAGACGGCCGCTTTCCGGGCAGCCTGCGTGCAGGTAGAGCGTGTCGGTGCCGTCGCTGGTCATGCAGTGGTAGCTGCGCGGTGGGGGGTGGATTGCTGATGTGGGTTGGATGAGCGTCCAGGCTGATGTCTGGGGGTCGAATTCCCAGACTGCGCCGGCTTCGTCGATGGGGGCCATGGCGGCGCCGCCGCGGCCGGAGAAGAGGTAGATCTTCTTGCTGAGGGTTGTGCAGGCGGATCCTACCCGCGGGGAGGGGATCTCTGATGTTGCTGGTTTGGCGATAGTTGATGTTGAGCCTGTTGGGTGGTTAGATGTTTATTGAACTGTTTGTTTATAGATGCCTTTATCTTACTCGTGCCATTCAGGGCGATTGTATGGACGTCATTATCGCGGGGTTCGCGGGGTCGTAGCTCTCCTCCAAAAACGTGGGCCACGTTATCAACCACGGCGAGTACTTGGGATGACCGTTGGAGAAGCTCTGCGTCGAGGACCTTGGTCCATTTTCCAGTGACTTGGGTTGCTGCCATTTTGATTGCTTGGAACTGTCTAGATACGTGAGCCTGGAGCGTCGGAAGTGCGTGCATATGGGTTGTATTTGATCGTTGGTGGGTACCTTGGGAGTAGCCTTTGTGATAACCTTTTACCTCCCGGCTCCATGTGGTCATGGTGCTATATCAATGGTTTGGCTACAGGGGAATAATGTGGTATCTCGATTGAATCAGCTATTGGCTCTTGCATATTAAAGAGTACCTTAATATAGCAAGCCACCAGTCTCTTTAAAGCCATACGAGACGTGACTGCCTAATGCCATGGTTAATTTATGTTTTGTTAGCATAAACCAGCTTACCTACAATCATTCATTCAAAGCTGCATGCCGTAAAAAAAGACTAGTATAGAGTCTCTGTTCTGTAAGAGGGAATGTTTAAAGAAAGCAACACATCCGACAAGCGCAGGACTCGACTGCAATGCCGAGAGAATAAGCTAACTAGACAAGTCGAAGCGACTTTCCTCTTGTTTTCGCTGGGGATAGGTGACAGTGATCCTCAGCATCTACTAATATACTAATCCAAAAATCTTTCGAACTGGTAAGTGATATACACCGGAGACTTTGCATTTTGTCAACATTGTCTTGCTCTCTAAGTATAACCAGAACCATGCCTGATAAGGTTTTGTTTGCTTCAGCAACAAAAGTAACTCGGTATGGATTCGATAGCACTTCGCATACAGAAGTTCCAGAAATAAGAGCACCTTGGTGGAATTTGCTCTCACGGTCCTTCTGGCTAGGCTGGCTGATTGGTGGTGCATGTTTCCCCGCAAGTAGCCCTGATCTGAACCTGTCAGGTCCAGATGTCAGATCTAGATGTCAGCGCACCTTGGTGGATATATTGCTCATCCCCCGCAAGTAGCGCTGGATTTAAACCGTCATGTTTCTCTACTGTGGTGCACTGATAAATGACTCTTTCCTTCATCTGCGAGCTCTTCAAAATAAACAAAATATTCTCAATAAGACTGATACCAAATTGAGCAACCATGTCTTCCTCCTCTGAGCCTCCCGCTGCAGGTATGGCTGCAGAACATTTTGACAAAGTCAGCACCTCATACGAACGTATCACCGGCGGTTGTACCCGCGAGGTTGCACAATTTCTGCTCACTCTCCAACCAACCGTGGACACCTCATCGGTTGTGCTCGACAATGCTTGCGGAACTGGGATCATTACCGAAGAGATTCTTGAACGATTCCCCACGGCTTCGAAGCCAAAGGTCTATGCCGCTGACCTCGCGCCTTCGATGGTTTCAAGCCTGGCCACCAAGGCGGCGAGGAAAGGCTGGGTGAATGGCAAAGACGGTCTCGTGGAGGCGTCCACCATGGATGCGGAGGAACTGACCTTCCCCGACAACATGTTCACCCACTCCTACACGAACCTGGGTATTCTTTTCTTTAAAAACCCGGAGAAGGCGGCCTCGCATATTTACCGCACTCTGCAGCCTGGCGGCACAGCGTTTGTAACGACCTGGTCGAAGTTGGGGTACTTGACGCCTCTGCGAAGGGCGCAGAAAGCTGTCCGGCCCGACTGCACTCCTTGGGAATTACCGATAAACGAGGCATGGTTTACAGAAGAGAAGCTCCGACAAGTCCTGGAATCCGGCGGCTTTGAGGCCGGAAACGTTCAAATCCAGTCCCGGACTGTCGCATATAGAGGGAGCGATCTGGATGACTTGGTAGATATCATGGAAACCGCTTTCTCTTCAGCGGTAACGGAAGGCTGGAGCAAAGAAGAGCGAGCAAAGTGGCCTGTTGCGCTCCGTGAAAGCTTGAGTGACGTTGAGAAGGCAAATGCGAGCATTGAGATGGTGGCTCATGTCGCGGTCGCGAGAAAGTAGGTCATGCCGAGGTATGTTGTGACTAGTGCTCTGGGCTTTGGTTCTACGCAGAGCCATGCCTTACTAAACTGTTGTTCATTTCAGCAATGTAAGTAAATTGGTCTGGATTCGTCTATTATGTAAGACGCCAGCAACTACTTCTTTACTAGTCAACTCAACTCGTATACTAGTTGCAATACCTCTCGTATAGTAGTAGGGTGTGATTAGATATCCAAAGCCACCAATATAAGCAATACGATCTGGGCTGCGACCACATGACTAATTTAGAATTGGCTTTGGAACCGATTATGGGATCGCAGAAGTGGAAATAAGTAAATAAAGAGTCGGCAACACCACCAGAGAAAGAAGGATCATCAAGGTTAAACATCATACAAGGATCTTTTCAGTCATTTTCTTTCAACCCTGCATAATGGGTCCCTCTGCTTTAGATCTCCTGATCTGCTCTACTTGCGGCGTCCAGTATGATGCCACGTCCGGATTGGAGTCCTGCAAGATCTGCGATGATCCACGACAATATGTCCCTCCATCGGGGTAATCCCTGCTTCCCTTTCCATCCTTGCAGGTTGGCAGCGAGAAAAGCTTGTGCTAATTCGTGAATAGACAATCCTGGACAACACTGCGCTCTCTTCAAGAATCACCTGTAAAGTATCACAATGTCTTCAGCCCCGACCCCGAGAATCCCAACCTCATCAGCATCCAAACCGCCCCCAAATTCGCTATTGGTCAACGAGCATTTCTCTGCCTTGATGAATCTGGCTCCGGCAATGTTCTCTGGGATTGTATCACATATCTCGATGACGAGACAATCCGACATATCAATTCTCTAGGAGGAATTCGGGCCATTGTCATCTCGCACCCGCACTACTTTTCCACCAGCATCCAGTGGGCGGATGCTTTCAATTGTGATTTATACATCTCCGCGGAAGATGAAGAATGGGTTGCCAACAGAGGCGATGGACACCGGCTGAAGTTGTGGAAGGGGAAGAGACTCTCTCTTCCGAGTCATAGACTCGAGTCAGCTCAACCGGGGGATGAGACCTCTGATTTCGTCGCTATCAAGACGGGAGGCCATTTCCCGGGCAGTTCAGTCCTCTGGTGGAAATCAGCGAGGAAGCTCCTGATTGCGGATACGATTATGATTGTTCCCAGTGGACGTTACCGCGTGAACCGACCCCCTGGTACGGTCTCTTATGCGTTCATGTGGTCGTATCCCAACTACGTAAGTGTTCATTGTCCCCGACGCTGTCAATAGACTAACCAGAGTAGATCCCGCTTCCCCCAGATGATGTCCATGGTATTTGGAAAGCAATCAAGGATATTGATTTCGAGGACACGCATGGTGCCTTTACCGCGCAGGACCTTTGGGGCAACAGTAAATCAAGGATCTTGGAGAGCGCGAAAATTATCATCAGGGCCTCAGGGTACCCAGAACATCCTATATTTTCAGAGTGAAAGACGCCACCTTGCGACTCAGCTTCTGGAGGCAAAGTTGTACATAGCCTAGGTTGTCTAAACGCAATGCAAGAAAAGAACTACTAAATGATCTATATATGGGTGTTTGCATGAGTGGCACAGTGCAGGTACCGCAGTACAAGAAGCCCCATGCCTTGTCCTAGAGGTGAAGGATACCTAGACGATGATTGAATGGTGTAAACACAAGGCCCAATGTTGACTGAGAATAGCATCCCTGAAACTTGCTCTCCGAACGGATTTACCAGGCCACTACCTGTGTGTAAAAGTCTCGTTTGGCTCATCTATCATGAACGGGGATCTACCATCTGTTTTTATACATTGGCGACATTAAAGGATATTGCCTCGTCTCTCTTCAAGAGCTCGTCTCTTTCGCATCCCGCCACCCAAGTATCCGCTGCACAGCAGCCGGAATCTCCTCCTCATCCTCCTCCGCCTCCTCCTTGATATTCTCCGCCCATCCCACGATGTCAGTCTCGCACCCCATTGAAACATCATACGGCGAGAGACCCAGCTCCAACAGAATTCCTACAACCTCATCATGTCCCTCAGTAAACTGATAATGAGCCAGATTCATCGCCGCATGCAATGCCGTTCCGTACTCTCCTTTGTGCTTGATATCAGCATCTGGATGTTCAGCAAGCAGCTTTCGCAGATTGTTCACATCCCCGGCTCGACATAAATAATGCACGATAGATTCTTCATCACAGCTGAGAAGATTCACATCGACATCTTTTCGCGAGAGGAGGATTGACACGGCTTCGCAGTTATTGGCGTGCGCGGCAGTCATGAGCACTGTTCGGTTGTTATTCACGGCATATCCGCCCTGGAGGTTCACGTCTGCGCCCGCCTTGAGGAGGACCGAGAGCGCGGCTGCGGCGTTCGCGTAGGCGACTGATGCCTGGAGAGGCGTGTGCCATCGCCCTCCAATGTGGTTCACGTCTGCGCCGTGGGCGAGAAGTAGCTCGACTATCTCCAGCTCGTTGAGGGCGGCGGCGTTGTAGAGTGCACTTCCGAAGAGTTTGTTGCGATGGTTTACATTCTCTGCCTTTTCGTTAGACAGGAAGTCACGGACGGACTGGACGTTGCCGCGTAGGACTAATAATGGGAGAAGATCTGAACTTGTCACCGCTAACTCGAGCCCATCGACCACGTTCACTTTGACGGTACGGGGTGATTTCCAGAGACCCGGTTCAAGGTGATGCATCGTCTCCTTAAATTCGTTGTTGAACACGAGCGCCATGCTTACTAGATGGATGGACTCTTCCAGAAGATCCACCTTTTCATTCTTATCCACTTGACGTTCCGAAAGAAAATGACTCATAGAGTCCGCCGTTGCGAGGATATAGTCCAACATATTTTCTCTAGAAGACGCAGCGCTCCCCCATCTCCGCCGGGAATGTGTTAACAGGACAGTTCTGACAAACCAGATTACTGAATCCAACGGCCACTTATTTTGAATATCATCCGGGAGGTAGTTGTAGCTAGCACAGACCCCCGAGACAAAGCAGCAGGACCATACTTCATCAAAGATGCCTGAAACAAGATCAGTGCGATAGTCGTGATCGATTATGCTTCACGGACGTACGACAGACAAGGCGCACATCGGATAGTTCTTGCTGATGGTGGAGTATTACGTCTCCCCTCGCATTGACCGGGAGGAGCGAGCTGATGATTAGCTCGAAGATCTCGGGCGGGAGATTCAAGATGTTCCTGTGAGCGTTAGCTAGTGATCCTACTAAAGAGGTCAATTGTAGATGGATTACATTCTGCGGTGGGGCTTGCCTCTAGAATCGCGTGTGGTGCAGCTGGCAAGAATGATATTCGCCAAGATCTGCAAGACCCCGTGTCCACCTGCGGCAATCACCAACCGAGTGGACCGCAACAGCTCGAATCAGTATTCAAGAAGCTCAGGTTTGGGTCACCGATATCTACGCCAGAACATCACTATTCCCGCCGCGGGGGGGGGGAAACGAGGTGATGGTGAAGCTCTTAATAGAGACTGGATGTGTTGATGGGGATTTAAAGGGCTCCTAGGTCGCACACTGCTGTTCAGGGCTGTGTAGGAGAGCCATCAGGTGGTGGTGAAGCTCTTACTTAGGACTAGGCGTGTTGATGCTAATTTAAAAGACTCTGACAGTTAGTTGCACACCGCTGTCCAGTGGTAACTGGATAGTCACATTATTATTATTATTATTATCCCAGAGAAACTAGGCTTATTCTTTGCGTTCGAAAACGATGGAGTCAGTTCTGGCAGTATTTAAGGACAAGCAGCAAGTGCTATCTCCAAACCAAATTACCCATTAATTATAGGGACAAGAGTAGCATTGAATACATGTACTTTGACTTGTTTACCTATCAGATTTCCATACATATAACGGAATCATAATAGACCACTGCGCTGCCATTATACTTTATAAATACTATGCTATTCTTGCCACATCATGACCAGGGACCTATGTACTGCTGCCTACGATATTTGCATCACATAGCAACATTGAGCCAATATAACTCCCGGATCAGATATTATGAAAAGCAAAGGTGCGGCAAAGGGCTATTTTATCATATCTACCCCTCATCAGGACTGGTTGCAAGCGCTACTAAAGATTCATTGGATAACAACAACTCTAGGTGTTCTGCGGCGCAGTGAGCAAACCACCCAGCTGGGGAAGTAACAAGGCTGGGGAGAGCGCCTTAGGTGCTGCCAGGCTGATGTGCCATGTCGTTTGTGCCTTTAAATATGGCTTCTTGACTTCCAGCTTTCTCTTTTCTTCTACATTGCTCTGAACACATCCTCGTCTGCTCTTCAATCTCTCTCATTATAAGTTACTTTATTTGGAAATCAACCATGATGTTTGATATTGCAGATGTGAAGAAACGGTATGATGATATATGTGTTGTTGAGGATAGCAAGGATAAGATCATTGTGGTTCGTTGGCTTTGCAGAGACGCCTGAAAAGGTTTACCGCGTAACTTACAAATTCGAGATATAGGATCTCTTTTCTTGTATTGAAGACCTTATTGGGGAACTGCAAAATGAGAGGGATGAGGTTGATAAGCACAAGCGGCTTATAGCTTCATACAAAGAAGATATCAGGGACCTTAAGAATATGCGCCGTGATAAGGTGGGTTATTCATTCATCTTGTTCAATCTAAAGCTGTTCGTCTGACATCTTTGATCCAGGCTAAGCTGAGTTTCGTTTCTGTTCTGGTGGATGGAGATGGTATGAATGTACGTCACCTTATTTCTGATATGCCTTGATCCTCCGTGTTGACCCATTCCACTTTCATCCAGTTTCATGGAAATCTCGTCAGAAAAGGGAAGCATGGCGGTCTGGATGCTGCACGGCTCCTGATCCAGGCTGTCCAGGACCATATTCAGAAAGTCGACCCAGGAGCAGCGCCCAATATCAGCTGCAAGATCCGTGTGTTTGCTAATGTGGAAGGCCTGACCGAGGCCTACCGTAATAACAACATTCTCAGTGCTGGAGAAACGTTGACCTCGTTTATCCAAGGGTTCAATCAGGAGAATGCCTTGTGTGATTTTGTGGATGCTGGAAATGGAAAGGAATGTGCTGATGTTAAGTTACGAGGTCAGTCCCCGAGGCCGAGAAGTATATACCAACCTGACTGACTTCAATTTTTAGCTCTTTTTGAGCAAGATATTATTGACGTACACTGCCGAAGGATCATCTTCTGCGCATCCGCAGACAATAGCCATGCGCGTGTTCTCAGCGCACACCGAGGATCGAAACGCATCTCGCTGGTCAAAGGACCCCCTTTTGCCCAAGAGATGGAGGAATTAGCAGCGGGATTCGAAACCGACTCCTTTGAGAATGTCTTCTTGTCGAGCAAGCTGAAGACCACCAGAAGAGTGTCCTTCGGTGCTACAAATATTGCTATTACACCCCCAAGGACCCCTACTTCCAACTACGCGTCAGCAGCGAAGGCAACTCCTTCGACACAATCATCATCACTGGTCGTGAGCGCTCCAGCGCATGGAGCGAGCAAACTAAGGCCGTCAGTATGTGTGAATTCCAGAGGCCAACGGGTGGACCATCCCTTGCAATATTCGTCCAAGGAAAATGTGGAGGCGCTGAAGCGTAAGAAACTGTGCAACCGATTTCATCTTCTCGGATCATGTCCCTACGGCAACAACTGCACACACAAGCATGGGCCATCCCTCAGTGCCATGGAGATAACGGATCTGACGTATATTGCCAGATTATCCGTCTGTCCCAATGGTATCTTTTGTCATGACGTGACTTGCGTCTGTGGACATCGTTGCCCGCAGAAGACTTGCCCTGGTCATGGTTGTAAATTCCCCGACAGCATGCACGGAGTTGACACAACTATTGTCAAGACCATTTGATGGATGCCAGATACTTGTTTACGCCTTGCAATCTGTATCTAATCTTGCATCGAGCGAAATTTATGAAGATAAGAATACATAGCTGTTTATGTCTCGGAGCAGCCCATCCGTGGTAGGCCACCAGATTTCCTGAGTCGGATCAGTAGGAGAGAGGGGGTTTGTGTGGTGTTCCTGGTAATACAGAGGCAGCTGTCCGTGTATTGATGACGTGAACTACGCATAAAATCATAGAATGGAAAGTCCAGTGTAGAAAGCAATCGCTCCTTCCTAAGCCTGCATGGCAATGCATCATGAGATTGATGAGATTGACTACAAACCAACAGTTTGAAAATCCAATTGACTAACATACAGATTACAACAGTTTGACCATTGATCCAGTCTATAAGTTGCGCTCTGTTTATGCTATACAGCTCTATACTCCCCTTTCGTCACGTGTGACACGAAAGCCCCAAAGCGATGCTGAAAATGGCCTCCAGAAGGACTTGCAACGCCTCCTCGGCTCAACAACTACCCCCGTATCTGGCTCCTTTCCATCCTGCGGACAAGCCAAGATCGAAGTAGCCCATGAGCTTGCGAAGTGCGACAGATCAGTATGGTTTCCATATACTGACGATAGTGCGTTACCACTAACGGCAATACTAGATCGACTTTTGGAAGGACGAGGCCTGATCAACTTTGACCCGCTTCCCACAACGAATGCTGTCGACCTCTGCAGTAATTGCCATCGTTCATACGACGATGCATTGGACCCGATGTTTTTCCCTTTCGTACCCAGTGACCTGGACTTCTTTATCCGCTCTGAATTGAGGGGCCGAAAATGATGTCCCAAGTCTTCAAAGCAAAAGCCTGGCTACCCAAAAACACGAAGAAGAGATCAATCGCAATTTGAGTGGGACCTCGGTCCTGACACAATCTCCGAAGATGCCATTCGGAAGTTTGGACCGGTGCTTTTATGTCCAGGATGGAGACTTGGATGAAGTACCATAGAGTCGCATTCCTTATCAATACACTGAAATCGCTTTGAGAGCTCGCCGATTTATGTGCTATATCAGAGGTCGTAGAAGCGTATCTATCATAGAGGAAGTCCGATTCTACAAATTTACCCTTAGTTACTGGGTAATCAATGCCACCTTATAATGATCAACAGACAGCGTTCTTGTTTCTTCTGCCCCGAGTTGCGCTTTCGAGGCGAGGGCAGTTAGCGTCTTGCAGGAACAGAACTGCAGAAGACTGTCGACATGTAACACACTTTACCCAAATCTGTTAAACCCCTAGGTCTGGGTTGGACTCTCTCCCTATTCCCTGGCCGCTAGGTCTGTCCTCTGCATTGATATTATCAGCTGATTACTAGCAGCTAAGTGAACATCCTTCTGTCAACTTAGGCACGTAGCTGTGACCCCCGAATGCAAGGTGATGGAGCTTAACCTGCAGGTCACTCCAATAGCCTAGGGTTTGGTCAGCAGAGCACTATCCTGCATAATCTGACCTTGGAGACCTGCAGGATCATCTTCTGTTTTCTTACCTTTACTCTTTGGATATCCTTTCTTCTAGTCTTAACTCAGCCAGCCATTGTCAGTAGAAATATGGCACAGTATATGAAAAGTAACTATATATCACATATAGGCAAGAGCAATATGCAGCTATGACTGGTCTTGGTTACACTGCATAACTTTGGATCATGCACTAGATTAGAATACCACCAATTAAATCTACAAACTTAGAGTGTAAATTTATTAAGCGCTTGGCATACTAGACATGATTTACTATAGCTTCTCTTGTTGTCCTCATTATGAAAAGATGGACATCGTGGCTACCTAAAGTAGCAAATGCTGAACCACTAGACCTTAGACATAAGGTAGCAGGCGCAATGTAACTAGACTGTTTGCTAGGTGTATGTGTATAGGCTGCCCAAGAGCACGCATATTAATACTCTCCTATAAGACTGACTACAGTGCACCAAGGTTGTCCCAGTGCTTTCTTGGAAGAACCATCTTGTGCCTCTACTCTTCTCTTCACTCTCCACTAATTCTGCTAACCATTAAACATGGGCCTACCAACTCTCTACAACTCTATTCTTGTGTTCCTTTTATTTGCACCAGCATGGTCCAACGGCCTCGCCAGAGCCAACTACAGCGACTTCTGTCCCGCTGGGAACCCAGAAATCCAAGTTGATTCAACCTCGTACACCATCACTTGTGATAGATCCTACATGGTTCCCTTGCCCATAAGGGTACGCGATAACGCAACACCCGCGGACTGTGCTCGTGTGTGTACGGCAGACCCAGAATGCCATGGCATTGTGTGGCATGCAGGCAACTGCTGGCAGTCGAATCATGCGGATGCTACCACAGGCACTGCCGCAGGTGCTATACTATTGGTTCCTGGCGAGACGCAGGAGCCAGTTCCTGAGCCGGTTCCCAATTGCCAGGAACAGGTGGATGCAGCTGTGGCAACTGCTAACACAAACTGCGCGAACCAACTCGAGACACAGTTGCGTAACAGTGATGAAATTGCTGCAAATTGTAAGCTTTTCAGCAGAACACTGATAACAAATGTTCCTGCTAAATTTTCATGCAAAAGGCGATTATGGTCAGACGGCCTATATTAGAACTATTGCTGGTGTACGCTTTAGAGTATGGTGCAACAGATGTGAGTTTTTACATTTATTTTGCCTATGGCTCCACTTGAAAGCCTGAGGAGAGTCTTCTAACCCATAATTAGACAGTTCGTTTACAAGCGATATATTCCATTTAGGAAATACCGTTGGTTACGATTCTTGCTTGGCCCTCTGTGCTGGGAACTCCAGATGCATGACGGTCTACTACAATGCAGCCCATGGATCTTGTCACGCAGTACCGGCTCGGCGAGTGCCGACCCTCAAAGGGGTCACCTCCCTAACTTTCATGCGCGCCTAAATGCCTTGGCTTCATGCTTATAAAAGGACTCCAAATGGGCTACCTATGGAGGCCCCTTAAGTCAGCAATATGTAACTAGGCTTGTCTGTTGTTTACTTGTTGCTTGTTGAATTGTTGGATCCTTCCTAGTGTGGTGACAGCCTCTCATCTCCTCCTTGTCAGCAATATCTATCGATATCTTTTAGTCACAAGACGTCTGACCAGTCGAATGTAGGAATCTACTTTCAAAAGAGGGACATGCATAGTGCGCCTATACATAAGAATCAGGTAGGTTTGATTGGTCATAGCCAGACCTCATTTTTATTCTTCTTTCCTGCTGAAAGACACAAGTCGTCGACGCCACTCATGATAAACAAAAAAGTGCAGTGCTGGAAATTCGAGTATCTCAGCCTTTGTAGCCGAGGATCCATTGCAGTCAGATCATAACGAATCTGATCGGCTAGAGTCACTACCTTAGACTGGTAAAGAACCAAATTCCAAATCCTCTATATGAATTATTGGATGCGATTGGCTGCATCAAAGTGGTATGAACTATGAACTCTAAAGCTAGCGGATGATGCCCCGGCTGCGGACCGTGGTGCAGCAAACCAGATCTAGGGCTGGAATGCTCAGAAACGCATTGGGCAGCTGTAGTACCAAAAACTATGAAAAAGGCAGCCAGGCAATGCATATAATTTCCAAAGCTAGGTATGACTCCATGGATTTTTGCCTTTAGTTCAAGCCACAAGGGTCTGCGGTTGGTTGGGCCCTCGGGTGATGGGTAATATTTGTGATTTGGAGAGGGTTAAAATTGAAAAGGCTGATAACTTGCAGTTGCAGCAGAGGCAGGCAGGCTGAATAATAGTCCAGTGGGTAATCTTGCAAGTACATGTAACTCTTAGTCCAGCTACTTGAGTTATTATCATGGGATAGGATTACAGGCAGATTTTAACCTAAACAAGCATGCACTGCAAAAGCAGTTTGCAGAATATAATCAGCGGGCGTATGTTCAATCCTTAACTTCCTGAGAATACTTGGTGATCTGAGCAATTACATTAGGGATTCTATTGTCAAGACCATTTCATGGATGCAACATACTTGTTTATGCCTTGAAATCTGTATCTGATCTTGCATCAAGTGAAATTTACAAAGATGAGCATACATAGCTGTTTATGTCTCGAAGCAGCCCATCCGTGGTAGGCCACCAGATTTCCCGAGTAGGGGTCCCGTGGTTATACAGAGGCAGCTGTGAATGTATTGTGACGTGAAGTATGCATAAACACATAGAATGGAAAGTCCAGTTGTAGGAAGCAATTGCTCCTTCCTAAGCCTGCGTGGCAATGCATCATGAGATTGATGAGATTAACTACAAACCACAACAGTTTGAAAGTTTAATTAACCACTTCTGTACAGACTACAACAGTTTGAGGATTTTACCCAGTCTATAAGTTGCTCTGTTCATGCTATACAGCTCTATACTCCCATTCTGTTACATGTTACACGAAAGCCCCAAAAGCGATGCTGATAATGGCTTCCAGAAGGACTTGCAACACCTCCTTTCCATCCCACGTCAGGAAGATGAAGAGTTGTTGGTCATGCGGACAAGCCAAGATCCAGGCACATGTACTCATGTAATGAATCAGTATGGTTTCCATATAGTGACGATAGTGCGTTACCACTAATGGGAAGACTAGATCGACGTTGGAAGAACGAGGCCTGATCAAATTTGACCCGCTTTCCAATGAATGCTGTCGACCTCTGCAGTAATTGCCATCGTTCATACGACGATGCATTGGACCCGGGCTTTTTTATCCGCTTTGAACTGGGGGACAGGATTCGCCGGCAAAGCAGTGGCAGCAAGAGAAGGGTGCCGATGGCACATGAATACGCTCGCTACCAATTCAAGCAAGGCAAGATCGCAGATGCCTGCCAAGGAGGCCAGTACATGAGGCTATACCTGGAGGATATCCTGTTCAAGGAACATATTCAAGCGCCAAAGCAGTGGCACGGTGCCCCGTTTCCCACTATTTGAATTGAGGGGCCGAAAAGATGCCCTAAGTCTTCAAAGCAAAAGCCTGGCTCCCCAAAACGGCGAAGAAGAGATCAATCGCAATTTGAGTGGGAGCCCAGTCCTGACGCAACTTGCACCGGTGCTTTTAGGCCCAGGATGGAGACTTGGATGAAGGGTAATATCATCATCTCGTTTATGTACGATTGTAATGTCCTGACTCGCGGTTACAAGTTACCCCTCATCCCTCATGAAGCATCTCGCGAATTAGAACTAGTTGGTTGTGCGGCCTGTTCCAAACAACAAAAGTTGTCATCAATCCACTCAACCAAAAAAGTGTTCAGACAACCATCTCTAGCTAGTAGGGATGATAGCAGTAGTGTCAACACAGCAGGGGAATACGACAGAAGTCATACCTTAATCACTCACGCCCAAATCATCGCGCTCACTGCACTTCGCCTCGATAGGCAGGGTCTTTCCCTCCCTCCCCAGCACCTCGAACAAATCCCTTTCCCCTACCGCACGCAATCCTCGTCGGCATCGGCGGTTCTGAAGGCCCATCGTCATCATCACCAGCCCCCAGAAATCTCCTCAGAGCTTAACAGCTTCACCAATTAGCTGGAGCAAAGTCACTTGGGCGTTGAGAGCAGGGAAGAATGTCGGAATCCACGAGGACATGGGTTGACTAATTGAAGACGACCTGATTGTTATGTGAATCATATCATTACGATGTATTTGAGACCTCTTCAGTTCTCCGGGTATATACTGTGTAAAAACACTTCAAGCTTCCTTCGTCTATGGTTGAGCAATTACATTAGGGGTTTCAGAAAAGTACTTCTGCTGAATCTCAACAAACAAGTCCCAGATCTGTGGTGAGCAATTCCCCTTTAACCGTTGCGCAATCTCGTCCATTAACTTCCAGTCCCGACCTTCTAGGAACCATTCTCCACGAACTGAACGCAGAAGGATAGCATAGTAGGCCAAGAGTAGTAAAGCGCTTGAACGATTCTGTTTCAATAGGGCCAGATACTCGGGCATAACTCGCATAGGCCACGAATTAAGGGCATCCCAGATAGTCGACGAAGGCCCGCATTGCTGGATAAACTCAAACGCCTCTGTTAATTTCACCGCGGAATCTTGATAGATAGGATAGTCGGGTTCGTGCTCTGGGAACACACGTAGTAAAGTCACCAGAAGTGGGTCATTAGGATCAGCTGTGACGCCCAGGTCGTCCCGCCAAAGGGCGGCAAAAGGAGCCAATGGACCACTAGTGAGTTGAGCCCAGACAGGGCAGAGCATGGAGCAGCCGTTGCGGAGGATATAGATCCAATGTAATTGGTCATTATCATCCGTTAGAAACAATCTTGAATCCTCGGAGGCGGAGCTTAGGGCACAGATGACAAGGAAGAATGCAAAAGCCAGCACTGCCTCGCAATTATCACTGTCCACATGCATGGTTGCATATCGAAATGCAGGAATTGCTTGATCTTGGTGTCGAATTGACTGGGTTATGTAAGATGTTCGATTGCTGGGATTAGTGGAAGCGAGGTGCAGGGCAGAACAGGCGAGGACGCCGTGAAGTAAGAAGGGAAATCGGGAGGCCAGCTCTAGAACAATGACCCCAAATGCGTCTTCTGTCTCGGGGTTGCATGAGAGGGTCTTATACGTGTAGGCTCGATAATGATCGAGCAGGCCTTCGTCGCTCACGATCAACGATTGATGGTGGCCCCATGAAAGACTTGATTCTATGCGAGTTTCGCTTACAGCGGGGGCTGTAACAGTCTTGGGGGGGAATGAAAAGTAGAAATTAGTAAGAGTTGTTAACAGTGCATGAGCAGCCTTGTCACTCACTGTACCAGGAAATCCATCACTCATCAGCCCATCAGAACCGTCAGATCCTGACCCTGGCGATGAAACTAGCAATGCTGGGTTGGTAAAGTACTGGAGGGCATTTCCCCGGAAGAAGGTCTGCAACGGTACGGGTTTCCAGAAACTGCTCCCCTCTAAGGCCGATGTACGGTGCACAAGCCTCCAGTGCTGCTTCATACGCTTGGTGGTGACACAAAGATGAGCGCAACCTTTAAAACAACAGGCTATTCCGTCTTGGACTGGCAGTAAAGGCACTGGAAATTGGGCTTCGTTGGGCAAGACAACATCATTAGGCTCGGCCAGCTCAAATTCGGAGGCATATTTAACAAAGGCTTGACGAGCTGAACGATGAACGTGATGGATTTCCTTGAGATGGCGCACGACTGCGCCAGGCTGGATGGCGTAGCGGCAACGTAGACAGATCAGAACCTGGTAAGTAGGCAAATAATGTAATAGTTGAGATGGGAGGACCGCATCCACTAAAGTTGAAGCCATGATGAAGAGGACAAAGGAGAATTGCGGTCATCTTAGCGGGGGAGCCTTGTTCCAACTCGGATTTTATAGTAGGATGGCCCGGGGACCGGGAGTGTTACTCCGCACATGGTCCAGAGCACTCTCTTGGAATAATAATTAATATTATAGAATATTTTCATTTGGACCACTAGACAATAAAGCATAATAGAGTAGGAATGGAGGAAGAGTGATCAATTATATCCAAACATACATATCAAGGAAAGTGAAAATTAAATCTCGGACACAAGCTGGTCAATGTTTATTACCTGCCGCAGCTCCGACATAGTCTCATCCCAAACCTGGCCCTGCGTGATTCTACCAGCGCCACTGTCGCCATATCCTGCAAACGGGGCTGACTTGCAGTCACTCAAATACTGGCCATTGGAGCGGTCACCGGCCAACGCTGAGGAATGAACTAGGGTACGGGCTCCCATGGAGACTGAGCGACCAATCACTCTTTTTAGGCCGCTAAGGACCTTTCCAAAGGCCCCCTCGGCCGTGCGGTGCAACTCAGAGCCATAGCAGAAACCGGGATTAACCAAGTTGAGAATGGCGCCCGTGGAGCGTTTGTCGCTGGATCGGCGCTTGAACAGCTCGAGGAAGAAGAGCTGGTACAGTAGCTTCGAGGTATAGTATCGATCGCCCATATCGAAGTAGCTCGGGTCATCCAACACGTCAATTAGTGGGATTCCCTCCTTGGTAGAGACATGGGCTTCCTTGAACTTGGCCCAGGCAGCGGTTTCACTGCTGACAATAGAGATCACCGGACGAGCTCGGTTAAGATTCTGGGAGGCCTGGCTATCGAGGACGGGCAGCAACAGCAGAGTAAGTAAAGCAGTGCTCAGCCAGTTGATCTGAATACTCGTCTCATGGTGCGTAGACTGGTTCGCAGTGTAGTGAAAGTTGGCAACACCGGCATTAAGGAGAGCAAAGTCGATCTGAATGTCGGATTGCTTAAGACGTTCCACAAATGCGGTCACACTGGCATAACTGCCCATGTCTAACTCCCAGACCTCGATCAAGGGAGGTTTAGCTGAAGTGGGAAGCAAGGCAAGAAGCGATTTCCGGGCAGCTTCACCCTTGGAGGCGTTACGGACGGCCAGAATTAGATGGGACAGTCCAAGCCCGAGCAACTGCGCAGAGGCCTGATAGCCCAGCCCAGTGTTGGATCCTGTCACCAGACCGGCTTTGCCAAGAAGGGAGGTGGTTGATGGGGCCTTGGAAGGGCAGACCAGGAACTGGCGATAAAGAAACCCGGGATACGTGTTATAGAAAGGCATTTTGAGGATGTGAGATGGATGATGGATGATGGTGAAGCAAGACAAGAGGGATATGTCGAATTAAATAGGTATGTTCCCCTCATGACCTTCTGTGAACTGTTTATGTGGTGAGCCATGTCGCCAAGACGAGAGAGATCCTCTGCAGACCCAGAACTACCTAGGGCAGGCAGTGAACCTGTTACGTGACAGGATATAGATATAGAAACGACGGTGCCGTTCCAGGCTATGATTGGCCAGCCCGGATTTAAGCATGATCTCCGCCTGGGAACTGAGCTGTTCTCAGGCACTCGCCGCACTCCTATACACCTAATGGATCTGACAGTCAGACAGTCAGAGAGAGAAACGGACTTACGGTAGATGTTGTTCCGACCTTTTGACCCTGTTACTCTTCTCATCCGATATTAGCTTGGTAACTTGCTTCTTGCTAGCGCTAAGAGTGCAGGACTGATTACGACCATGTTTTGAGTCCATCTATGGCAGTAGTCTTGTCAGCCCAGCGAATAAGTGCGTAACTTAGTGACCAACAGAGCGGCAACGCCTTCAATGTGCAAGAATAATGGGGGATATCTTTGACTTAGAAGAAAGGAGATTGTTAGGGCGGCCATCTTAGCCATCCTATCAGCCAGGCAGTAAGCAGTGACAGACAGCGCCAAGCCCTAAATCCGAGAAGCATGAGGGACCTATATCAACTACCATTTTCCTCGTAGGCTCTAGTCCATACTGATGATACAATGCTCTAGTCATAGTTATATTTCTCTCTCCAATACTTTCTTAGCTAGTTACAATCCCTGTATATGACATGACACTGACATATTGTATTGATTGGCGTTTAATCCTGGCACTAGCGGAGTCAATCGGGGGCTTTCTACTCCGTAAGGCGTCAGACGATCCGTGCTCATCGAGGTATTTTAACCTGTCGAATCCAGAGCCGGCTTAAATTGTTCAAAAAATTGTCGGAGATAAACTCCTGGTGCTAACCTACAAATGCCGGAAATCACTACTCCGTCAAGAAAGATCCTCCTGGTGGTTGCGGGCGGAGGCTATACTCATGCAGGTGAGCACCTCACATCCTTCTACGGCGCATATTCTTAACTTCTTAAGCACCTGTCCTGGAACTCGGAAAGATCCTTGCCAATCGAGGCCATGTCATCGATTTTGCCACGCTCGACGGACAAGAGAAATGGACAGACGGTTTTCCTATATCCCGCACGCATCTCATGGGCCCAGGCCCTACGGAAGAACAGCTCGACGCTCACTACAAGCGAAGTCGACTCTGGGACCCAGCCAAAGGACTGGCAGATGTCATGGACTCTAAATACCTCTTCGATTCCCTGTGGACGCAGACGTACCATCGACTGAAGGAGATCATGGCCGATCCCGCCACACGTCCGGATATGATGGTCGCGGATTTCTTTGTCGACGCGGTTAAGGATATCCATTTCGAGTACAAGCTGCCCATCGCGGTTGTCTGGCCGCAGATGCCGTACCTGATGGTTCCCTGCTCGTATATCCCCGGCCAGCCGGGCTTCCAGCTGGACATGGCCCTGACGTCGGAGAATGCGTCCATATGGTCGCGCATCAACAACGAGCTGGTGGTGGTGCGTGCCTTGCCCGAGATCCTCAATCTCATGAAATGGACCAAGGCGATGCGCAAACGCGCGGGTCTGAATTACCTTCTTCCCACCMCGGCGAAACCAGACTACCTACTTCTGGTCAACTCGTTCTTTGGTCTGGAAGTCCCAAAGGACCTCCCGCCGCTGGTGGCTGCCGTCGGGCCCATCCTCGCAGATGAATATCCCCCGCTGGATGACCTCCACCAGCGCTTCCTGGACCGGCACACGAAGACCATCTACATCGCGCTGGGAACACATATCATCCTGCCGCATGCAGATGCTCGGAAAATCATCATAGGACTCATCCAGGCGATGGAAGCAGGGCTCATCGATGGCGTGATCTGKTCTGTAGGCAAGAGCGGACGGCAGCTCTTCGACACAGCGGATCAGTTCACCATTGCGGGCCAAACCGTCTGCTTTGGCGACCTCCTGGATGGAAAACATGCCGACTGGCTATTCCCCTTTTTTGCGCCCCAGCGGTCGATCCTGGATCACCCCCACGCCCGAATCTACTTCACGCATGGCGGCGGATCCAGCGCCAATGAGGGCCTCTACCACGGCAAACCCATGCTCGTCATGCCCTTCTTCTTCGACCAGATTGGCAACGCGGCTAAACTAGCTGGCGGCGGGTCATCCGAGGTCCTGCACAAGTTCCGCTTCACAGCGGAGGAAGTCTACACTAAGATGAAGCTAATCCTGGAGGATCGCGAGGGGAGCTACGCGCGCAATGTCCTACGTCTCCAGCGGATTGCTCGCGTGGCGTCCCGGCGGAAGCAGCTGGGCGCAGACCTCATCGAGGAGGTTTTGTACGATACGGAGCTGAGGGTGGTGGATGGGAAGGAGACCCGGCCGATGCATCTCCAGACGGCGGACATGCGGATGCCTGTTTACAAGGCTAGGAACTGGGATTTGATGGCAGTTTCGAGCTTGGTGCTGGGCTTCCTGGGGGGAGGGACATATTATGCGGCGCGATTGGCCTGGGTGCATCGTCAGGCTATTAGGAAATTTGTTGATTCCGTGATTCAAGGGTCGGTGGTCGGTGGCTAGGAGACATCCCTGTTGTATATGCTAGTTTGATATCCCCCTTCATACTCCTCTTTTGGATACTTCTCTTTCCAGCCTTGCGCCGATGTAGACGCTAGCTGCCACTAGCCAAGCCACTGCTTACTGACAGGATGGCCAAGATGGCCAACCCGTTTCGAAGCTTGATGGTGGCTGGCGCTTTTGCCAGGTCGCGATATAATTGACCGATGTCATCAGCTTGGAGATGCGCCCTTTGCTAACCATCATATGGTGTTAGTGAGCTCTTCCTGTCAAGATAGTTGTCTCTCATCCACTCGTAACGCGCGCAAGTCACCTGGGATGCATGAATGCGTAAGCCTACACGGCGAGGCAAAATACGAAGCTTAATAAACAACGAACTTCATGTGGCACCATAATCTTGGCCCACATAATCACCTTCTACCCCATTCTATCATCTATTATTAATCGAACAGTATTATTAAACTATATTAAGACATGCTACGCTTCACTCCACAAAATCTAGACTAGGTAGCTCCTTATTGCATCCCACACACACAATCCGTCCAAGTTAGGATCATTACTCATCCATTCAACATGTCCGTTTACGTTATCACCGGAGTGTCCCGGGGAATCGGGGTGAGCCTTCTACAATGTGATGCACCGTATTTATCTAATCCAGCCTAGTTTGAGTTCCTCAAGCAGCTCTCAGAAGACCAGGACAACCTGGTCATCGGCCTGGTCCGCGACAAAGCTGCAACTGAGAAGAAGGTAGCAGAGCTGGGCGACCGTCCTAATGTCCACATCCTCCACGCAGACCTCACCAAATACGCCAGCCTAAAGCAAGCTGCTGCCGACACAGCTGAGATTGTCGGCGAGCGTGGTGTCGACTACCTCGTGGCCAACGGGGCTATAGTGTCTAGCTTGGATGCCTTTGGACCCATCGGCGCATTGTAGGTCTACTTCCCACTGGCTATGGTTCAGGCTGCTTAATGCTAATGTGTTCAACAGGAGCGACAAGGTTGAGGAGCTTGAGGCTGTGTCATCGCAGCTATATCAGACTAATGTTACTGGCAACATCCACCTCTTCCACCTCTTCCTCCCTCTTGTCCTGAAGGGCAAAGTCAAGAAGGTCATTACCATTTCTACTGGTCTGGCTGACCTTGACATAACCAATGAGTATGAGGTTGAGAGCGGTGCTTTATACGCTGCCTCTAAGGCAGCTATGAATATGATTGTAGGCAAGTTCAACGCGCAGTATAAGAAAGATGGCGTGCTCTTTTTGAGTATCAGCCCAGGCTTGGTGGAAGTAGGCCGCTACGCAGATGGTATGTATCCTTCCAAACATGTAGACATTCCATTAACACAAACCCACAGCCACTCCGCAAGAGATTGAGGGCTTAACAAAACTCATGGGCAAGTTTGTAGCCTATGCGCCTCACTTCAAGGGCCCGCTTACTCCAGAAGAATCCGTCCGGCAGGTCAGGTCAGTCTGGGAGAAGGCCAGCGTCGAGGATGGATGGGGCGGTGCATTTGTCTCGCATCTTGGAAACAAGCAGTGGTTATAGACAGGGTCAGATCCCTCCGGAACTGTACAGGGAATCATCATCTCCTACTAGCTTCAGACGAACTTTGACGTAATTTACTTCCACTTGTTCATCGCTACTTGTGCTCCACCTAAGACGTAACTTGACGGACATTAGACTTTATTGATGCAGAATGAGTGGCACTGTTACCATCAGGTTCACTTGCTATATCAGATGATTCAAGATTGTTATCATTGGTTGCCTTATTCTCTTCCTACAACTTTCCAGAAGCGGATGATGCATAAGGATAGAACATATCGTCATTATCGTCATCATCATAAATTATATTAGGAAGATATCCAAAAGGGTTATATACTTGATACAAGTGATCCTCTCAAAGCGCCTCAGCAAGCCCGGTCAGGAACTCGCTCAATCCATACGCACCAGGGTCAGGAACCTTGCCGACCCATTCCTCCTCCCCACCGACGTAAACGCTCCGCCCGAGACTCGCCTTCATGCTCTTGGTAGCTTCGGTCCCATCCCGCGCGGCTTTTGCAGCCGCATGCACATCCTTGGACGCGACCAGCGTATCGCAGAAGGGAACCAGGGCGTCGATCAGGGTGCGATCCCCCGGCTGCGCGGGGGTGTACTTCCCCAGCGCGGTGATGGAGGACTTGAGAGCATTGGCCCAGACCTCGACCGTTGCGGGAGTCGGGGTGCCTTTGTCTTGGGCGCGGAGACCGTGCGCGAGCGCGTTCAGGAAGATGGAGTATATGGCGCCTGAGGTGCCGTCCATGGTGTTCTCCACGACGGTGACGATGCGGTTGACGGCGGTGACGGCGTCGTCGGTCAGGTTGGACGATGGGTCTTCCAGGAGGGAGAGGACGGCTTCGGCGCCGCGCTTCAGGCCCACGCCGCAGTCGCCGTCACCGACGATGGTGTCGTACCGGGTGACCAGCGCCTCGGCATCAATGACTCGCTTGAGTGCGGATCCGAGGGCTTTCTTGAGAATGGCTGGGTCCACTGTAACATCATCAGCGCTGCAAAAGAGAAAGACAAACAATGCCATATGAGATTGAAGATACTTACGCTTGACGTTACTGGGTTGGTCCTCAGCGAGCTTCGTGCTCTTGACCTCCACAGGAGCATCGGATTGGTGTGCATCCCATGTCGATGTGCGGATAGGAGCAGACCAGCCCACGGCTTCGGCAGGCGCGTCAAGGAGCTCGAGCATAGACTTGCCAGGACCCAGTCCCGTATCCGCGAGCTTCAGTAATGAAACACTGAAGCCCAGTCCGTTGAGGCTGGTCAGGAAGGTTCCTTGAATGATGCGCACAGGCTTGATGTTGAAATCTCTCTTCAGCTGGCGGTATACTTCATCGGTGATACCCGAGAGCTCGAGGGTACTGACGCCACCCAGATTGTTGATAAGCAGCACAAACTCGTCGCCTGGCTGATGAGTCAGGAAAGCGCGGTCTGGGTCATTGTTGTCCAGGATCTGCAAGAGCATAGTCTTGATCACTTCTGGAAGCGAAAACTTCATCCGGTGGGACCCCGGTTCGTTGTGAATGCCCATTCCAACCTCCACTTCCCCATCAGGAATGGTATCCTCTGGGACTCCTCTACCAGGAATATGGACGTGCTCCAGGGAGGAACCCACAGACGCAAGGTTAGCGTTTGCTAATTGAGCGACGCGGTACACATCTTCCAGCGATGCACTGAATGATGGTTAGCTGTCGCCCGGAATCGTGCTGCCTATCAACTTACCCAGCCTCTGCCAAAGCTCCGACGATCTTCAAAATGAGGATGCCACCACCGATACCGCGACGGCCAACTTTTCCGCCCTTCTTCTTGCCGACGCCCGCGTCATCATTAATGGCAAAGAACTCAGTCTTGATTCCAGCGGCCCGCGATTTCTCGGCAGCCATGCCAAAGTTGAGAACGTCGCCGGTGTAGTTCATAGGTATGATCAACACGCCCTTTTCATTGTCGACGCAATTCATGGCGGCATGGCGAATCTGTTCGGCAGATGGAGAAGCGAAGATGCTGCCAGCTACAGAAGCGTCCATGAGTCCATGGCCGACGAAGCCCGCAAACGCAGGTTCGTGACCGGAACCTCCACCTGAGATGATGGCCACTTTGGGTTTTCTGGATGCATCCGGGCGACGGAAAATCACCTTGTGTTTTGAATCAAATGCGAGCGATGGATTCGTAAGTGTCAGGGAATGGAGAGCCGTCTGGACCAGGTGATTCGGGTCGTCGAAGAAATGTTTGGCTGTGAAGCCAATCTGTTAGCGCCATACAACCATAGTGGTCTGCTTGAGAACCTCTGACTTCATGATTTGCGAAATGCGCATGTGACGAAACGGAAAACTGGACACATCGAGAGAAGTGAGACGTACTCTGCATGATGTCAAAATGTGGAGCGAGACAATCGTCAAATCCGGAGTTGCGCCGTGTTAGAGTGGAGAAAGTCGGGGGATATACAGATCGCCGCCACGAACAGATACGAGAATGTCGCTGGAACGCAAGAGAGACAACCCCTCGTCGCTTTAAATAATCTTCCGGCAACTGTCTCGCGCGGGATGAATTCCAATCGGACAAATTCTGGGCGATATTTCCCCTCAATGCGAAGCCCGCAGATGACTGGAAGCGATTGCGCCAGGAATTGCGACGGGGATCTCCAGAGTCAACGGTTCGACTTGGGAATCGGCTTGCAGTCCGTGAGAGGCGGGGAAAAAGTGGAGTAGCCTGTGATCGAATTTCGACCCGTCACCTGTCAGTTGGATGTTCTCTTCGATACATATTATAGACTAGACCATGCAGTTGGAGACATCTTGATGAAGTCATTCGCGCTGAATTGAACCGGTTGAAATCACAATGGTAGGTGATGGTCGTCTGAAGGCGGACTCACCGGAGTATATTCGAGAATATTTTTCAGGTATACAATGCGTGTCTCCAACGTCGATGTATATGGATGCTGTACACAGATGTAGCTGTTCAAGAGGACCAAACCCATGATCGAGGAGAATCATTCGAGAAGGGAGGAGCAGTATATATACTCAATGATATCCACATATGGAGTGTCGGGCCTGTTCTCTTTTTCCCCGTTTTTGCTGCTCACATGAACAATTATGCTCTGTAGTCGACTCATAGTACTAGGGGGACTGTAAGGTGCTAAGGTACCACGGTTAGCCTTCCCTCCATAGTAACCGATACTGTGGGATGACTATCAACGTAAGAAGGGACATGGAAAGCTGTTTCGGCGGAGTAGAAGTGCCCGTGCACCCCATTGATCGTGGGGTCTGGAGTCTGGACCGGAGACAGAGGGGAGCTCCTCGGCTTACCCTCTATGGTAATTCCGTCAACCGTCCAGCAATACTAACATCATCCTATCTTCTTGTGTAGATTGAACATTATTATCGCAAGACTGCCTCTGCCAGTTAGCTAAACTAAAGCTACTTAGCTATCTCACTACGATGTCATCAATGTGTAACCATTGGTTATAGTACTCCGTGCATCTATCCAAGACAGATCTCAACTTCACATAAACTTAGTCAGGTTGCCAAAGACGATAATGATGACAACATTGTTTGCATAGCTATCTGCTATCCACGCATTCAGCAGATTAAGATCACGTGGCATTAAGCCTAATTCCCTGGCTTAAGTCCTCAGAAGAGAAGGTGAGCCGGGAAACTTGACCGAACAGAGTATGCGTTGATACGTGCAATACACATCCATATCAAAAATCATGGTCATGAGACCCGAAAAAAAAATAATAATGGGTTCATCTACGCACAACATAATATGATAGCTCCCTGCTGTCAGATCCCATGAATCCACAATTGCAACTATCATTACCGCTTTGGGCATTCCTGACTATCTAGAACACTAACTAGGATGAACTCAACCACGTGAACTTGCAGAAAGGATTATCGTAAGATAGATAGAACCAGAGCCGTGGCACGAGGCCTAGATTATTCCGGTCGCTTCTCGGTCGAGTACCACCACCACCTTAGTTCTACAATGTCCACTTACTTACGTTTCAATGTAATCCGGCCACTGTATTCCGGCCAACTGGCTACAACACTCCAACCGCCTCGGAAGCCCCCAAGGGCCTAATACTCACTGCTCCTGTGGGGTCGGAGCTACTCCGGGTGTGTTCCAGACTTCCAGACTTTACCGGTCCCAGACTCCGGGCATTCGCGGTTCTAGCCTAGGCTTTGGCAGCTTGGGGGCTACGTAGTAAGTAGTTCAAACTCTGGTTAAATACCGTGAATGACAACAAGCCAAAGAAGGACTGTGAAGTATATCAGGTCATAAATGAATGTCATTGATGTAAGGTCATAATGAGAGAATAAATGCTGCATAGAAATGGTAGCAGCTTCTCTAACAGAACAATGTAATTGCTCCTATGCGACATATTTGTACATATTAGGACTGGTCTCCGTGTCTCGCTCCATGTAATCCTTCTCAATCAGTCTAGCTAACAGTCAGTACTCGTTCTAGAGAAAGTATGGGGAGGTCCACTCACCTTTCAATATTGTTCTTGATCTCCGCTACGTCCAACACTCCTCGGCTCCGCGTCGCCTTGATCACCTCGGCGACCAGTTCAGCGTGTGAAATCTGCTTGCGACTCTTCATGATCCGCACGATGGCCGCCTGTGTCTCAAGATGTCGGTCGGCCGCCACCCGCTCGTGCGTCTTCTTGTTCTCCTCCTTCGTCTCTTTCAGTTGAATTTGATTGATCTTGATCCGGAACTTCGGGTCCGTAAAGCCCGCATTGAACGAGAATTCATCCGTAGGACTGACGTCTCGTCCCTTCGGCTTCTTAGTGAGGACCCGATACTTGGCACATGCCAGCGACTGGAGTGTGCGTTGGAGCTCCTGGTCGGCTGCATCGAAGCAGTCAGTGACAGGTACAACAGATAATCTCGCTCGCAGAAACACTCACAAAGTTTCGTCGCTTCCTGAATCTGAGGATAGCTCAGACTTCCGCCCTCAGGAACATCGTTGAAAAGCAGGAGCACGATCGCTTGGAA